ATTTTCGGATTTTTTCCGACGATTTCCAATCAATTCTTGCCGGAAAGCGCCGGAACTTGGCAGGAATCTACCGGAATACTGCTTCCATGTTCCAGCGATTTCCCGTGTTTTCCTGAAGTATCCTACGGGATCCGGTGGCCGGAATGTTCGACCTGAGAATGAAGAGCTCTAAGTTGCAATATTTTTCGTGCACGATGTTTGTTGAAAAAAAAATATATATATTTGAAAGTGTTCTAACGGATTTGTCACGATAGAAAACTTAGAATAGCATCAAAATTTCCTAGATTTTCACTGGTTAGTGTTGCACAGATGACGAAACTTCTTACAGTTAGAAGCGGTGAGCTAACTCGAAACACAAGTGATCGCTTGAATATAAATTTGGTTACGATTGATAGATTTCTGATACCAGCGACTGAATATGCTTTATTTGATGCTGACGGATTATAAAGTATTATCTCTTTTCGGCTTAGATATTTGACGCACAAATTTAGAATAATATTTCTAACATAAGCACTCAACATTGGTTATAAAATAAACAAACTCAAGAAATGACACTTTCTTGAGCGTGTAGGTGAGTACTAATCTTGATTGGACAGTCAAACCCACACCAACACTCTCTGAGATCACATTTGTATTGTCCACAGCGTTTATTTCAAAGCTGATTCAGATAAGTCATAGGAGCATGATGGAGAAAAAAACTGTATAAATATTTCAATTAAGTCAAGGCGAACGTTCATCTAGCAGCTATTCGCTGGACGAACATTCGCTGTAAATCGACCCATATAATTGCCCGGTGGTGTGTACTGAGCAACAACATATGCAGAACGGCCTCCATTACTATAAGCGACGCCCATACCGAGTTTTCGGGAACCTTTCCAAACGACTTGTGTAAAATGGCCGGTAGCCGATGAGAATCCTCCACTGTTGAAGTTATATTGCTTGATTTCATCGTACCAGAGCTTGACAGCGGTTGCACCTGTAAAGAGGTAAGATTATTTATATAATGCAAATATTTAAGAGATCAAAGATAACTTTCCATTTACGTTCGATGAACCACTACTCATATACAAATTTTCACCTACACCTTGTGTTCCACTATGCTGAAATGAATTAGTAGAAGCAAGTTTCTGAGCATAGTTTTGAGCCGAACGACTAAGTGCATCATCAAGTACAAGTGGTTGAGCACAATGACGAGCACGGTATACATTATGTGCATCTAATGCTTGCTTCTGAAATTGACGTTGGGCATCTGTGAATGATTGTCTTTTTTGCAAAAGTCCACTAAGAGATTGATCACCTCGAAGAGCTTTGCCAACTTTTTCAACAATTTCATCGGAATCATGATCATCCCGAAGAGCTAAATCATCCGAATCGGAGTCAGATTTATCATCGTCTTCAGTGGATATTGCACTTTTAATGAATAGTACCGTGAAGAGTAGACCGAGAATGAGTATGGTGGTGTGTTTGCACATGGCTTGTAGTTGAGGAAAATAAAACAAAGTTTATGATATTCAGCGTTGAATATCGCTTATTTATAGGTCGTAGCCAAACTATTTGTTGTTATATTGGAATCTTACTCATGAATATATAGATTTATACTAATATTTACTCGAGTTTCTATGGAATTATATGCAGAAACCAGTTCAGAGTAAAATATTTTGTATACACACATGAATCAGCTCGATTTCTACATTCATCATTGGCGAATCAAAACAAAAAAGAGTAAATTCAAGGATATCCAAATTAAGCTTCAAATTTTATTTTTTCATGATATTTTGTTGGCTTTATATTATAAATATTTTTTTTTATTACTTTTACATACGATAATGTGGGTATCAAGGGTTTTACTTACATAGACCTACCTANTTTTCAGATCTTGTTCTCTATCTACTTGATCATACGCTAACGAACAAGAAAATAACATCATGGTTCGATACGCACGTGAGTCCAATTGTTTGAATTCGAATCATTTTTGGAAACTGAACGAACTTTTATTATTCAATTTTCCATAGGTTCTGTCGAAAATCCGGCTAAATCATGTAAAACTCGTGGTGCTTATTTACGTGTTCATTTTAAAAATACACGTGAAACAGCGAATGCCATTAAACGCATGACTTTACGACGTGCAACACGCTATTTAAAGAATGTTGTTAACAAAAAAGAAATCGTTCCATTCAAACGATTTAACGGTGGTGTTGGTCGTAAAGCACAAGCTCAAGTATTCAAAGTAACACAAGGACGTTGGCCAAAGAAATCTGCCGAAATTCTTTTACAATTATTGAAAAATGCCGAATCGAATGCTGATGTCAAAGGTCTTGATGCCGATCATCTTGTTATTGATCATATTCAAGTAAATCGTGCACCGAAAATTCGTCGTCGTACATATCGTGCTCATGGTCGCATTAATCCATATCAATCATCGCCATGTCATATTGAATTAATCTTGAGTGAAAAAGAAACTATCTTAACACGAACTGGCGGTGCTGTCGAAGATGAACCATCACAAAAGAAGAAAGAATCGAAAAAGAAACTCAAACGACAAAAGATGATGAATAAAGAATAAATGTTCTGTTAGATCATCATTATAAAAACAAAACAAAGAAAAAAGGCGAATCCGTTGTTTTGAGAAACAGTATTTTTCATGTTTCTTGTAATAAAACAAAAGAAAATTCCATCGACGGATTGAAAAAAAATTATGTTTATTGTTTTTTTTTTGGAATAAAAGAAGAATAAAATTTGAAAACGAAAGTTAAGAGCAACTTTCACAATTTGTTGTGCAGACACTTGTAGATTATATGTCTTTTCAATGGATATGCTAACAAGAGCGAGGAATTCTCTATTCGGAGCTACTCAACCAAGAAATCTTCATTCACTTGATAATCTTAAGTAAGATATTAACAACAAACACAAGTTCATATCCCAGTGAATTTTCTCTTTGTTCAGATATTTATATGGTGTGTTGCAACGAAATACAACTGTATCTGATGCTAATCGTGATTTATTGACTGAAACACTGCGAAGTATTTCGGAAATTCTCATATGGGGCGATCAGCACGATAGCTCTGTATTTGAGTAGGTTATTTGATTTCCATCGAGTTCTGTTGAAAAAATGTTTTATTTTGTTTAGTTATTTTCTTGAACGAGGAATGCTAATCTATTTTTTGGATTATATGCGTCAAAAAAATGGACGTTTTATATGTGTACAAATTTTACAAACGCTCAATATACTTTTTGAAAATATTCGTAATGAAACATCATTATGTAAGAAAATCCTGTTCGTAAATTCAAAAAAAGTTTTTACAAATTTCCACTAGATTATCTACTGTCAAATAATCATGTCAATAGGATTATTTTACATAAATTCGATTTTAGTGATGAAGAAATAACTGCCTATTACATATCGTTTCTTAAAACACTATCATTAAAATTAAATAAACATTCAATAAATTTCTTTTATAATGAAGTAAATTGACTTTGAGGAAAATTTATTATTTCTATTAGAATGTGTTTTTTTCTTCTGCAGAGAAATAATGATTTTCCATTATATGTTGAAGCGATCAAATTTTTCAATCATCCCGAAACAATGGTTCGTATTGCTGTACGAACATTGACGCTTAATGTTTACAAAGGTATATCAAATTTAAATTCCTCATATTAAAAAAAAGTGAAGTAGCTATTGCAGTTTCCGATCCTGGCATGCATCGTTTTATATTGGATTGCACAGCGACGGAATATTTTTCGAATTTCGTCTGGTTTATTCGAAATCATGTCTTAGATTTCGATGGTTTAATACGAAATAATCGAGAGTAAACGAAATGAACAGGTTTTTTTTCTCTATCTACAAAATTTCTTTTGTTTTAGTATTAATCATCGAGGTCAACTAACCAGTAGTTTAGAAGAATATTTAGATCATATACATTATCTTCAAGATATTTTTTTACTCAATGTTGACAGTCTTAACAATGTTCTCAAAGATCAATTGATGAATCGATTATTAATACCTGTTTATATATTTTCATTAATCAAACGTGATAAATTTTCTCGAGTGAAAGTAAATTTTTTTGCCGGGAAAAATTGGTCCCACATAATTCTAATTCTGAGGAATCTAACCGATAGTTTTGTTTTTCCCGTTGAAGGACCCGCGAATAATGCTTGATCAATTATCAACACTCTTTCTTTTGGCCGAAGTAAGTGAACACTGGAAAACTGAGAATCGGCATTTTCTATTGGTTCATTCTTGCAGGTCTTTCTTGTCATACATTATCGTCCTGTCGTTGAAGAACTAGCTGATATTATACTTTCAGTAGATGTTGAAACCGTTGAAGCTATTCAACATCGTTATGGAGAACAAGTAAATTAATTTTCGTATGAATACGATCTTGTTCTATTTCTAATGTTTAGATATCCTATAGTCTACCACCGGCATCTCTTGAAGTTTGCTTAGCTAAATATGAAGCTAATGACGAGAGCGATGCCAGCGACTCAGGTATTCACGTTTATCTCATGTTTTTTACAAGTTTCTTCTTTAATTAGAAGTTGTATTAAAAGTCGTAGATATCAATGATGACGAGGAACGACGTCAATATGAAGGTGAACATTCTCGACTACGGTCCGCATCATCCTCGTCAACGAATCATCAAACTACGGAGACACATATAAAGCCAGCATCGCTATACGTATCGAATTGGACGGATGATGAAAAATATCGACGTACTAAAAATCCAATGCGTTTAACTAATGCACAAATAGAAGATCGGTAAGAGCTGAACGCAAAAGAAAGAAACTTCGATATGAATTTATCAACTATTTGATTTAGACCGTATTTCAATGCATTGATCAAAGCACTTGAATGCACTGAAAATGATCAATTGTGTTTCTATGCATTGAGTGTATTATTAACTATGACTACAAATCCAGGTAAGTTGATTCGTTGGATCGTTTCAAATAATTTTCTCGTTCATATTAGCTGTCGATAGTGTTATTATTGAATCTGTTTGTTTAACAGTAAAATCCTCGGTTCGTTTATTTGATTGAAATTTTTTCTTCAATTCAAACGTGTTTATTACTTTAGGATAAAAGTTTCTATAACGTATTATTAGTCGATAAACTTTGCGATATTCTTGAATTAGCAACAATACACGGTAAGAATTCTTTAGAAATTCATTTCCGAATAATCGAAAATATTTTTTCAGATTCAAATATTCGTATTGTAACATTAAGTCTGGCCATATCATTATTAAAAAAGCTTGTTTATGATGAAGAGAAAAAAATCTCGTATCTCTCGGATCATAATATGGCACGAATTGATCAAGCACGTAAACAAGCAACAACAGATCTGAGACGATATTATCCAGTAAAATTAAATCAAAACCTTTTTTTTTCGAACTATTACGTGTTTTTAGCAACAAGAACTTCTACTTGATATGTTTGAAGATGAATATCGACAAACACAATTAAATCCGCTGCGTATTGAACATCTACTTAAAGATTCGTGTATGCTGTTTCCGCCATCGACAACACCATTGAGTGGTGTCGAGTTTATCAAGCGTTTGCCATCGGGTGACATTGAAAGAGCTCGACGAGTAGGTTTATTGAAGAAAATTTTCATTTTGTTTTTCGTCATCTATTCAATCTTAGTCGATTCGTGTATTTTTTCTCGTTCGCGCATTGTTTCTGGAATTAAATTCAATAGCAGAAACAGAATTACCGTTAACCAAACCAGAAAATCTACTCAAATTAAATGATAAAATCGATTTTCGTAAGTAAAATCAATCGACATCAGTTAAAAAGACTTTTTTTTCTAATAAAGATAATTGCGATTTGATTGCCTGTACGGTGCATATGACAGAAAGGTAAGAGTTGAGTGAACTAAAATATATATTCTACGGGTTTCGTTTTTTTTTTTTAGAAAAGATCGTCGATTTCTTGTCATCGATCAAATGCAATTTATTCTTATCGAACCCGATGGTACAAAAATCAGTTGGGGAATCGTTAAATTTTGCGATCTAATGCAAGTAAGCCGTATAGTCAGATTTTTTCTCCTAAAATTCATTGACTTTTATACTTGAAGGATGTTGAAGTAGCCAACGATAAAGAAGATAGCCGTTCGCTGCATATCACTATTCACAAACCAGTTGCTAACATCTATGTTAAAACAAGTCCGCCTATTCTCAATGCAAAATTTACATTTGATGATCATATTCGTTGCATGACTGCTAAACAAAATCTAAACAAAGGTCGCCAAAGGTATTGTCTTGTTTTCGCATAACAATTATTTATTTTACTTCAAAAAGAGCTCGTCAAATGAAATTATCAAAAATTGCTGCTATCCTCGAAATAGAAACAGCACCCACAAATGCAATGAATCAACCGAAACTTCGTACAACAACAACAACAAGTTACACTCAACATCAATTCGGTAAGGATTTTAATCTTACTGTAGTTCGAAATTGTCCTGCTAGATAATCTTTATCGAATTGTTTTATTGGCGATATTCGTTTAATTTTTGCATGGCATAGTTCAGATGGTTTGATTAATAACGGTCGAGTATTCGTATTGATCGAGTCGGGATTTGATACGATAACCGATTTTGAAGATTTGATTTCTGCTAAACACATTGTGGAATCTATATGCCGGTGGTATTGACATAGACATTTATGAGTTTTACAAGCACATTTAAGATTAATTAAGGGCGGATGACGAAGAGAATCGTCATCGCAACGATGAAAATGTGAATTGATTTGATAGCTTGCTGCTTTCTGGCGTTGACGATAAACAAAATAAAGGAGAATCGATAAAATAAATAACACGATGGTAAGAAGTATTAACCAAACAATTAGAACTTGTTTGTCGGACGTTCGAATATGTTCCGGTAGAACATTTTTACTTGCATTTAATAACCAAAGGAAAATATCGGGAAGTTGTCTTTCAGCTTTTACGATGATAAATGTTGGATTGGTTGTGACAGGCATGAAGAAAGTTTTATTTTGATGTGTATAATTTAATGAAGATAATTTCAATGCAAGCGGAATTATTGTATGTATAGATTCCGATTGAGAAGAATTTAAATCGAAACAGATTAGATATTTTTCGAGGTTTTTACTTAAAGCATAAAGAAATTCTATTGAGATTGGCCGACGTTGTTCTATATGCCAAGCCGACACGAGTGTAACATTTTTATTTATTCTATTTTTCCACGTGTCAACAGTTGATGATAACGAGCATGTTAAATTTTGCCCTTCATCAATATTAGTAGTAATTAAAATAATTGCTTTTGAACGAAGAAAACATTGCCGTGCAATATCGTCAACATTGTGATTTTTATATTGAATTGGTGATTGACACGTTGGTATGGGTCGGCTAATTGAAAGTGTTAATACGTTTGTACATGAGCAATGCCAACGGTTCGAATTTAAGTTAATTAAGCCTAATGGTTGACGTGGAAAAGTAGTCGAGAAAATTTGTTTTAAATTATTGTTATTAAGATAAAGCTCTTGTAAATATACTAAATTAATAAATGTTTTCTTTCGAATAAGAACCAGTCGATTGTAACTAAAATCAAGTTTTTCTAATGATGGAAAATAATGTGAAAAATTCTTGTCAATAATACGTATTGAATTATGTGAAAGGTTCAATGTTTTTATACTATATAAAACAGGCGAGAACGATAATGATCGATTAAAAATGACAGGCGATAGACGCGTTAGATGAGCATTGCTAATTGAGATCGTTTCAAGATAATTCCATAGCGTGTATTGATCGAAATAGAAAGTTCGCATTGTGCAACGTTTCATTGAAAAATATTTAATAGTCGAATAGAAACGTTGTTGCTCTTGAAAAATATGATTATGATGATTTTTTGTTAAATTACAAATGATAGAAACTTTTTCGATATAAATATAATTCATGGAAAATTTATTAACGCAATGATAACATGATTTATAAAGTGTGGATGCACACGGTAAACACGAAGAATTCGAACAGCAACATTTGTAAATAATTAAATTTAATAGAATAACAATAAGGATCTGCATTGATAGGTTCAAAAATCGATTTAACAAACGTTTAGAACAGACAACTTATGTCTTCCTATCTAACCTCATTACTTATCGATTGATTAATCTGTATCGTCGTAAATGCGCACATGTATTTCTTCATGCATACGCGTCCCATATCCCCCTATTGAATGGCTACAAGTGTGACGAGCCAGATGATATTTTAATAGAATAAGTACTATTAAAATAGACAGACGACGTAAATCAACGTATCATCCGAAGCTTGTCTATATGCTCGATGTGACCTCAAGTATATTGATGATCTTTTTCTTCTTCTAGGTCTTCCACTACCAGCGTTACCCAATCATCCTGGTATGTCATTGCACTTTCTAAAATTTTAATAGCTTATGTCCTATTCATTCAAGGTCGAGCAGCGTTAATATCTGGTGCTAAACGATATCCGGCGAGTCAAAAGATTCCAATTAGTAATTGTTCAGCTTGTTCGAATTCTGCTTCATCGCCAACATTTGACAATGTTGAACATATTCGAAGTTATTCATTATCACGTACTCATTCCGATCAATCACCAAATATGAGTCATCTATTGTCATCAATACAATCGGCCAATCGCCGAACATCGGTATCTGATGTCAAGGAAAAGTCGCGAAGAGGTTTGAAAACTACGAAATTCTCTTTTACAATGACCGGGTTTGTTTAAAATTTCTATAGCGAGTTCACAATTGGTTAGAGCACCTAAAAGCTTGCGTGAATGGCACGAACAACCGGTCAATCTTCTTGAACAACCTTTTCTATTAGATAACGTAAACGTTCAAATACTTTCACCACATAGTGAACGAGTAAGAAAATAAAATTTTTCTTTTTGTGTAAAATTTTTTTGTTTTTGTTTTTACTCTTCAGACACATCCAAGCCTCTTGAGTGACAATGCAAGATCGAAATCCGAAGATAATCTAAATAATGAACTTGAAGACGATGATGATGATCATCATCGAGCAATACGTGTATCAGATGTGAATGAAAATTAATACAACATCTTTCTTTATTTTTGTTTTTTTTTTGGAAATATATTTATTTTTTTAAAGTTTCTAACCATGCTGTCTGTAAGAAGGTACGAGTGGTAAATTCTGTCTAAATAAATTCGTGCATTGATTAAGAGAATGTAAATACATTTGCTTATCCACTTGATTTAATTGTTGAACAAAACTGAAATATCATAACGATTTTTTTCGACTAAAATTAACTATTTTTCAATAGAAATCAAGCATAGATACGATAAATATGACCTTGACTGTGTTGTTTTGCGTGTTACGCTATGACTCTATCTGTTAATAGACTAATCGATGTCAAAAAATCGCTTCTGTGCTATTAGCGACATCTGAATCGTATATCAATATAATATTCAAGTATCAATATTCTTCTTACTAATCATTGATAATATCAAATAGATGATTTGAAAGTTTGTAAAAAATACCAACCAAAGGTGTTGTAATTGGTTACGAATTTAACCACAAAAAAGTTCCTATTGGTTGATTATTAATTTTCTCTACAACAAACAAAAATTGTTTTTTCTATCTTGAGTAAAAATAATTATCTTTTTCACACATCAGTCTCCTTTTTGTTTTTCATTATTATGAATTTGTCTCTGGATGCTATTTTAACAAATGCTCGTGAACTTGTTTCACGTTTACGTCGTGACGATGCCACCGCTGATACAACTGTAAATCAAGCACAATATGTTCAAGAAAGAATTCTTAGCATGAAACAGGTATGCATTTAATGCTTATTAGTTTGTTTCTTTTTCTAAGTACAAACAATATTTTTTATTTCTTTAGTATGGCGATGACCTTGCTGAATTGAATGATATTAGTTCACATCGGCCAAAAACAGATATTCTTTATAGCATTCAAAAAGAAAATCGTCTGATCAAGTAAGATTGATCGCTTTTTCACCTGATAAGAAAACTCATTATGTTCGATTTAAATTAGACAATTACAAAAAGAGAATGAAGAACTTAAACAATTAGTAACTGAACATCGGAGTGTTTTAGAAAAAATTATGCATAAATATCGGCAACACGTTCAACAACTTAAATTAATGGAAGAAAAAGAAAAAGTCGCTGTTCAATTATTCAACACTGGATTAGCAACGGTACATTATTAATTAGATTAAAAAAAAAAGAATGCATTTTTTTTCTAATTTAAATTTAGGAAATAGAAGACAAAGCATCCAAAATTCATGAAATGGCATTAATTATGCAACGTGCAATTGATATTGATGATACGAATAATGCCGCACAAGAAGAGCGAATTAACGCACTCCTACTGGAAAATCGTGGCTTGAAAGAAATTCTTGCTGTTCATGAAAATATGCATAAACCAAAACAAGTATCACCAATAGTAACAATACCAGAGGTAGACTTTCGATAGATTGCATGTTTTTTTATTCCGTAATACCTTTGCTATTTGTTTATGTAATCGTTTGAAAATAAGTACATTTCCACTCCTAGGCAGATTTCACGTTAATATGCGTTTGTTCATTCAAACAAAATACGCCCATTAAATAAGCTTGATTTATTCACTATTTGAAGTTTGAGATCGCTTTGTTCTTTTTTTTGTTTGCGAAGTCAAACTCTTCGAATGTCTATGATGAAAACGGCAGTGACAATAGTGGAAAATTTTTAATTAATTTTCGCAAGAGAAACTTCCCTGCAGCGATCGTTATCGTGATTTTTTAAGCAAAGGACAATTTTTTTCTTGAACTCGAATATTTGTTTTCTTCTTTTTAGTCTACTACTACTACTGCTGCTGTCGCTGAATTATCCAATTCTCCTATTCCTCCTGTCACTTGTGAAACAAAAACAACGGATTCAACTTGTTCTGAACAAGAAGAATCGTCTTAATAATAAGAGTTTTTCTTTTTATCCGCTATCATTCCAGTTGTATATTTTTTATTGCACTCTATAATTGTTCCACGTTGTTTGTCATAATCTTTTCTAAATGCTATCTAGTCGTGTTTAACAAAAAAAAGCAACAAACAAACTTATTTTTCTCTTTCTCTCTCTCTCTCTCTTCTACTTATGTGTGCTTAGTCTGCTTCAGATTTCTAAAAAGAAAAATCACCATGACCAGAATATATTTACAAGAGACAATGTGTGAGATTTATAGAAAAATTCGATATGATTTCTTTTTCTTACTAGATATAGTATGTCGTAGATGATAAGCATGGATATTGCAAACATCAATTAAATGAAATACGATTTATCATCTATGATTCCAAAAAAATTATCAATAGAAAAAAAATTATTTAACTGGCAAGATCAACAACAACCAAAGGTAAAAGTAATATTAGCTCAAGAAGATTATATTTATCGATTGTTGTTGTTGTTGTTGTTTTGCTTTTAGTCAAATATTAAACATCCTACTGATTCAGCTTTTTCATCGACAAGAAACATTATAGTTCTATCGATTGGTACAATTTTTTTATCAGCAATTATAGCATTTTTAGCTGTGGTAAATATAGAACAAAAAAAATTTCTTCATGTGCATAAAAAAGACTTGATTTCTATCAGTTGTATTGGCGATCGAAACAACGCCGGTCATTGATCAATACATGTGAACCATCGGAATCGACGCCGTTTTCATCGATTAGCATTGAACCGGCAACACCAAAGGAAATCATACACTATCCCAATGTACCTAAGCCAGTTGACTTAAATCTATCAGATGCCAACGAAAATGCATATTCAAAAATCAATACAACGAAAAACAATCCTGCTGCCAATCTTCTAAAAAGGTACCTTATTGATCGTTTCACACAGTCCAGATGTGTCATAGCTGATAGGCATCGGAAAAAAACAAGACATAAACTAATGAGGAAATCTTTTAGATTGCAGTTTTTTCTTTGAAACATTATATTACGGTCGAGTGATCTGTAGTGCTGACTTTTTGAAGATCGTCTTAACAAAATGTTTTATTTTCAGGAGAGGTAATATCACTCCATTAACAATCTCCGTTAATCCAAAAGTTCGTCCACTGAATAGCCCACCGACGGATTGGTAGGTAAATCATCATTAAGAAATATCGAAAAAAATTCATTTCGGCTTTAGTTCTCCCGATGAATATTTAAAAGTGGCATCACGAAAATTAACCATCGATGAGTTGTGCCAACATGCGAAAGATACTTACTCACTTTATCAAGAATTTTGGGTACGTAAAACCTATGATAGCGATATACTTTTGTAACAGCTATTATTTTTCTTATAGGCAACACCAACAAATCATACTGAAAAAATACGTATTTATGGTTCCGGTACAAAAAATCGTTATTGTACAATTATAGCAAGTAAACCTAGAAAATATTTTCTTTTATTATTTATCCTAAACTCGATTTTATTTTTTTGTTCTCCTATAGATGAACATTCCCGAGTAAAACTACCAGAGCAGCTCGATGACCCGGCTGCATCTTATATCAATGCAAATTATATTTCTGGTTGGCCAAATGAATCTCAAGCATTTATAGCTACTCAAGGTCCTCTTTCAAATACAATCGTTGATTTCTATCGACTGATATGGCAAGAATACGTACCTGTGATTGTGATGATTACTCGTTTAGTTGAAAAAAATAAAGTAAAGGTGAAAGAAAAACAAACGACCCGTTTCGTTTAACGTTTTATTTTCTTGTAGTCAAAATGTGAAAGATATATTCCAGATTCTCAAACTAATCAATATGGCCCATTTTATGTTGAAGTTCAATCAATTATATATCAAAATGATTATGAAATACGACGTTTAACGATCGAAGTAAGGAAAAATCGATGTGTATCTATGGATTTTTGAATGAAATACTTTAGTACGAAAATGAACAACGCCAACTTGATCATTATTGGTATACAGGTATAGAATCGAAATTAAACAAAAAAGGAAAAGTTTCTTTTTGATTGATTTTATTATTTAGCGTGGCCGGATCAATCATGTCCGAATGTTGCACAACCATTAATTGAGCTTGTACATAGTGTTGAACGAGATCGAGTTGAATTATCCAACATCAATAAAAAATCTGGTCCTGTTGTCGTTCATTGCAGGTATGAAAATCAATGAAAGCATGTTTAGAAAATAATTATCATGTCGAATTTTAGTGCTGGTATTGGTCGTACTGGTTGTTTTATTGCACTAAGTAATGGCATAAGACAATTGAGAAAAGAACGTGCAGTCGATGTTCTTCGTATTCTTTGTAATTTACGACGAGATCGTGGTGGGATGATTCAAACCAATGATCAGTATCATTTTGTTTATCTGACATTAAGTGAATATGCACGAACGTTAGAATAATTATTTTTATGATCTGTTTTAATTAATTTTTTCATGTTTGACAAATCACGTCCGTAAAGAGGAAAAGTACAAAACAAAAGTCATAAACGTCTTTTTCTATTCGGTTTATTGTATATTTCTTTAATCTTTCATGTTTTTCTTATTGTGTTTCGTATAACCAAAGATTTATTTTATTTTGTTTTATTTTTATTATTCGGTAGTTATTTTGTACAAAATGATATTTACACATGGAATAAATATTCCATTGTATAATTTCTCTTTCTAAGTGTATTGTGGAACGATCAAGCGAGCTTGCACTTCAATGAAGATAAAAGTTCATTATTTTATTTTTACATAAAATGTGAATATTTAATTTTAAATAAGGCAATGACATTGATTGAAAGTATTCTTAGGATTCTAGCGTATAATTGGAAAAGGTAATTGAATATTCGCAGTTGAATCGTATTGTATCAAGTCAACTGACAGTTGCCCACCAATAACACGAAGTACACCAGAACCTGCACGCCCAGCAACTTCCACAAGATGTGTTCCTTCACGCATATAAACATCATCCCACTTCAGACATGCCAACCCTGTGCCGGGACTACCTCCACTATACAGAACGCCACCACCTCTATGATCGATTTGAAGTACACTATCACCGAGTTCAGGAGCTGACTTTTGTCGTTGGTCATTATTGGGAAGAAGATAGTTTGAAATGAGTACACGATCATCGATCAAAAAGCGTAGATAGCCGTTGCTATCACGTGTCGACACTGTACATAGTGCCTGGAAGCTTAAGCGATAGAGCATTGGTTTTGTATGATGAACAATAAAGGTGAGACCAGGTATCTTTGTAAAGACTTCTGATGGGACACCGATGAAATAATCAAATGAATTCTGATAACGTTGGTGAATAGAGTGATCCAGGATGAGATTATACGAGTAGCTACGCTGTTTTAGTTCAATATTTCTGACTTCTACAACATCAGTACCATATTGAGTAATGTTTGATCCAGATGCTAGGGTATTTGATAGAAATAAGAGTAGAATTGTGGAAAAGGCTAACATGGTATGATTTGCATGTGCAATTCAAATGGTATAAACTATAAATGGATTCAAGAGGCCTACTTTCCCCTTTATGTTGCCTTGTAAGCCTTATTTGCATGGTAATTACCATTTCAATGGTAAAAACATCGTTAATAATCATAAGAAGCATACAAATATTCCAAGAAAAATGATGTGTTTTATGGTAAACCACACTACACTTGGTTCTTCAGCAAGTATTTTTTGTCATTTCGGGGAACCGTGGGATTATATTTTGCTCGTTGGTATAGATGAGAAAAAATGGAAGAAAATCGGGTGTGGATGTCCACACCCTTAAGATTTATAGAAAAAAAACACGATTGCAATGACCTATTTATTTATTAGTAAGTAGCTTCTTGAGGGTGTGGGTGTGGGTGTGTGTGTGATACATATCTAATTGCTTACCGCCACCAAACTCACACCCACACCCTCAAGTTTTCCAGACAGACTAGGTTTTACTATAGGACTACAACCTAATTGAAAGCTTCTTCCCTCAATCAAAGAGGAATCGATCGCCCTAATAAATAAATAAATACAACTCTTGTGTTCTAAAACGAAGTATGTTGAAAAAAATAATTGCGCATAGTTTGATGATTGGCATGCATATTGACTTTGAGAACAACGTTAAGTAAATGTTTTTTTCTTTAATACTAATTTAAATCGAACTAAAAATGCAAAAAGTACTTACCCAATAGTAGTACCCATCACAACATACGGTGTGGGTGCTGGAGAAGAAGCGATCCTCATGTCGGCATACATCAGTAAGCGCCGCCACATCTTTAACTACGTCAACACGGACGCCATTGACGACACCAACATCAACATCCCCACACTCCCATCAAATCGACATCCACACCCTTATTACAAATCTATTCAACTCGACGTACGAATAGATTGCTGAAAAGCAAGAGTTGAGAACACCAGATTGGTTTGTCTTTTAATCAGAAGATAGATTGGTCTGTTTATCGATTGATTTACCGCAGGTTTGTTATTTTTTGATGAAGTAATTAGAAGATTGATTACGAGATTAAATGGTGATTGGTATCAATGAGCAAAAATGTTTATTTCAAAAAGGATACATATATACACAAAAGTAAAAACTAGAAAAAAAGCTCACTTTCCAACTAGAGTTTAGCGGGGATCAGGACGAGATTGATTATTTTGTACCAAAATACTGCTTTCTATTAATTCAGAACTGCAATTTGATTTTTCGCAAAAATAAAACTAAAAGGACATGTGCTTATGTGAAAAGAAACGAATTTTAGAAGAGATCCATAAATAAGGTAGAAAAGATTACAAGTATCAAGTTCATCTTGGCTTGGAATCACAGTATTACTGTCTATTCGATATTTGTTCGGTATCGAGGAAGAGAATGCGAAGAAATTTGAGGTACTACTAGGATGAATAATAGGGGGGAATGTATAGATCAAAGAGAAAAACATTTTTATCTAAGTGATATTATCGTGTATAGTGGTAATATAATTCGACAGAATTTACAACAATAAAACACAAGCTTTTATCTCAGTTTTTTTTATCAAAAAGTCATAATCCCAAGTGAATTTCTATCGAATCCTCTCTAATTAGATACGTGTACATGGAAACGATTTCTACTGATAACTTAGAAACAATCGGGATTCAAAAAAGAAGCTTGATTCTGTTGGATCCTACTTTCAACTGAATGAACTTTAGAAATAACAGAACACTTAAAAGTTGTTGATTCATTTGAAAAAAACATTTTTGAGAGAATGTTGTAATACTACTAGGCTCTGCTTCAAGCATTTTTATCATATTTAGGAGATTTCGTACTTGGCATTCCTTTGTTGTTCATTCTTCCCAATTCTTCGTGTGTTGGTCTAGTTGGAATAAGTCTTAACGGTTTGACTCCAGCTAAATGATGTGCTAAATTCATTCTATTATCAGTAGCCACTAATTTATGTTGATACGAAAAAAACTGCACTGGACATACTGCAGGTCCAAATGTTTCAATAGCTTTTTTTCCTGCTGTGTCAACGGGTTGACTTGCAATCATTTCTTTTACTGGTCCTGGTAAAAAGTCTGTAGCTGCAGCACTACTACAACTTGAAAAATTTGCATTGACAGATCCTTGAGAATAAAAAAGGTTCTTGTCAAGCCCAGGATGTGCTTCGTTCTTCCAATAGCCAGCCAACTCGTTAAATGTGCTCACTATTGGAACGGATGAAGAGTCCATAGACAAGTTAGAAAATAATTGTGCATTCTCTTTTTTAAACTCAGCTAAACGTCCGTTTAAAGAACTATAAAAAATGTTTCTTAAATTTTTATCATGAGCTATCGTTTCTTTAATATTTTCATCCGTGATATCGTGTATTAATGTCTCTAAAATTAATTTTCCTTTAATTTCGGGAGAATCATTTTCCGATTCTGGTTTATATTGTTTACTGAGTTCAAGGCATTTTTGAAGATCTTTCTCAAGTTTTTCCTTCGATGGTAGATAGGGATCACTTAAGATGTCGTCTGCGGAATGTTTTCTAACCTTCACCAATTCAGCATTGTCACCTCCTACGTACAGCAAATTTTTGTTGGAATGTTCACCGAGAAAATGTACAGATGGCATCATTTTAAGGTATATATCTGAATTCTCTCTTATTCCAGCAGCTGCCATTTGTCTCAATTCACTAGATGATATATTGGTTTGTACGCTGAGTGTATCAAATAGGCAATCGTTCGCACCTGTAGGTGTAATGCCAGTGACATCATTTGTACCGGTATAGTGTCCAATATGTCCAGTGTGACCTTCTCCAAAATCAAGCTTCATTGGTTCGCCAGCATTCATATCGCCAATGGTCATGTCATATGCTCCATTTCTAAAAATCTGCACTGGACGTCCCAGTTTGGCACTTAAAGCCATAATATCCTTCAAATCACCAGGAGCACCATTTTCAATCTTTTGAGCTAGATTTTCAATATCTGGATGAGTCGGAGCATCTTGTTGAGTGTTGTCTTTTTGAATACCTTTCGCTCGTTCTTTGGCTGCTCGCTCCCACACATCTTTTCCACGTCGAATCACGTCATTCTGAGCTCTACGGCTTTTTAATTGTTTTTCTAATGTTCCTTCACTGTCAACATATGCAACTTCGATTCTTTTCGATAAATGATTAACAGCAGCATCGACACCGGTATGAACAGCGGGATTGATGAGTTCAGCATTAAGACGATTTGTCATATAATTTGCTAGTTGATCAGTTAATGTTTTTGCAATCCTATTTTTTTCAAAGCCATATTCAGATTGTTTCGTAGTCTCAGTATAAATATTATTGCAAACATTAATAACATAAGTTTCATGGATTGTATGTTTATCTAATTTAAATACAGTTGGCTCGAGCGGTTTCATAACTTTAATACTATCATGTCCAACATAATGTTCTTTCTTTAACGTTTCTGTTATTTCTTTTGCTGTTCTTTTATCAATATCATTTGGCTTGTTTAAATGGAGTAAATGATCGATTTTCAAGTGGTCCTTTAATTTATCTAAATCTCGTCTGAATTCAATAAAAAAGTTCTTTAAAAATGTCGTTAATTCTAGAAGGCATTTTCCAGCAGTAACTATTTGTAATGCATATCCACTAGTGCCATTAGTTAATTGATTTGCGATACCTTTGGCAATTGAAATTGCTGCATCAGCAAATCGATTACTTTGAGGATGTAGCATTCTATTGGTCATGTTTTCAATTTCATTATGACACATGTTGTTTCTATGTAAGCCACTATCAACAGTTAAGAAGTCTTTGATTGTTTGATTTCCATTAACTTCTTCAGTAACTTGTTGTTGAATATGTTCAGAGATTTCTTGATTGATTTTTTTACTAAGTTCAGCCAAAATTGTTTTGTCTAATACAGTTTTCAGAATTTCTTTAGCGCCAGCTTTAAGAAAAGCTTGACCAATTTGTTTACCAACAAGTTTCCAACCTTCTTTAGTAAATTGTCCGACGAGTTGTTTACCACCAACTGCAGCTGCCTTAACCATAGTTGCACATCCTTTAAATCCAGATTTGATTGCTTGACCTGTTTCTTTCAATGCTGCCATTCCACATGTAGCTATTGTAATGGCGATACTGATTGCTTTTTGTATTGCATATTCCTTCCAACTGAATTCACCAGTTATAGCACTTTTAATTGCATGTATCATATCACCAATTCCTTCACTTAATAGCATCGTACCTATTTGTACTGCTGCACCACCCGTAAATGCAATCAAAGCTGCACCAGCAACTGCTTGTGCAATACCAAGTAGACCAACTGCAATAATACTCAACCATGGTGTTGGTTCTTTTCGAGTTAATTGAAAAAATCCTAGAAATCCATTTTCTTTGAATTCATTAATGTCTAATGTAGGTTTGTTGACATCGCTAAAAAACTCATCCAAAGCTTTATATTCCATGCGAACATCATGTTTTTTGTCTGCTGCATCTTCGATAACTGATTTTCCTTGTTCGATTTGATTCTTACATAAACATAAGAGATTAATGCGGTTCATGATTTGATCTTCAGCATCACTTTTTGTATCAGTATTACTAGTTGCACCCATCATATCTTGAGTACCACTAGTGTGACTCTGGGTGATTCTAAAAGAAATTAACATTGTTTCTTGTTGGGGTATCAAAATGTTATCAATAGTCTTCAAAGCCTCTTCAAGTTCAACTTTTGCTTCTGTTGTCTTATCACTTGATTTTTTGATTAAAGCATAAGCTAAATTATAACGTGCACTGACAGCAAATATTGGGTCAGATTTGATAGCATCTCGTAGAAAATCAATAGCGTCATCATAATTTTTCTTTTGAAATATGTATTCGTTTCCTTTTAAAATTAAATAAAATGGATTTTGAAAGATCGCATTAGAAGAATAATCGGCTAAAATTCTTGAACTAAATTCTTCAAATTTCTTATCGAGTAATTCATCATTGAGATCATCAGTTGCATCGTTCATGGAATCATCTTTTGCAAAAGTAATTTTAAGCCAAAGTCCCCATAATTCTTCCACAGAATCTAATTTGTATGTATCATTTTCTTGTTGACGTAATTTCTGGCGTAAAGTACAAAATTTTCCGAATAATCTATCGCGTCTTTCGATATTTTTCAATTCAGTATGTTTTGCTCGTGCTATATAGAGTTTTTCTCGTTCATCTCTATCTTGTTTCAATTGGTCAATACTATCGTACTGAATTTTACTGTCAATAGGAGTTAAGGCAATTAATTGTGCTGTACCGTGTTTCCCTTGTCTCGAAGTTCGACCAAATGCTTGATGTTCAACACGTGTGTTCAATGGTAAAAATGTGACTAATACATGAAGACCACCATTTTCTTCGACTTTATGTGTTGTTCCAAGATCTGTACCTCGGCCAGCAAGATTCGTAGCAACAATAATTTGACCGCAATCTAATTCATTATCAATTGCATTTTGTTCTTCATTGTCACTTCTTGTATATAATTTGATTGTTTTTTTAAGTTGAATATCTTTTTCAATCAATTTTTCCTGTATCTTCGACGCATCTGATTTTGTTTCACATATGACCAAAACAGCACGCTGATTTATTTTAGCTTCATTGTAGATTGATCGTGTACATTCATTTAGCCATTCTTGTTCAGATTGACTTAATCTATCTGGATAAGCTACGAATTGTGTATATTTATAAGGTGGTATAATGACGAAATCAACATTGTAGATATAATGAATTAAATCTTTAGCCTCTTTCGAACCAAGTGTTCCTGTCAAACCAAATAAATTCTTTCCATAACGACTAAAAAAGGCAACATTTGATAGAAAATTTGTTGTTAAACTTTCAGCACTTATTCTTAATTTGTGTTTAATCTGTAAAAATTGATGTAAACCATCAGGCCACGATGTGTTAGTTTGTATGATACCTGTATTTCGATAATCAATTGGTACAATTGATTTAATGCCATCTTTACCATCTGTTATCAAATAATCAATATTTTCACGATAGGCAAATTTTGCTTGCCATGCATTTAATATCCATTTCGTTAGTTGTTGTTTTACAAATCCTGTCAAATGTTTTGGTATATTCAAAAGACATTCATTTTTATCATTAGGTGTTAATAGTTTATTTTCTACGTAATTTTTTATATGATTTTCAATAAATTCATACGGATCTTCAACTTCAATAAAATCATTCTCATCAATATTACTATCACCAGCAACAGCAGACGTATCTGTTATGTTGCCATCGTCATCGGCTGTTGCAGGTTTCAGTAATATTATTTCGCCATTCTCATCCATTCGAAACGGTGCTGTAACACAATATAATTTGCCATCTATCCGAGCAAGTCGATCATGTGTGCGATTTAATTCTTGCCAAACTACTGTCAATATAACTTTCAATTCATCGATAGCTGGTATTTTACTGGATAAACGACATATTTTAGAATTATCATCGATCAACATACTATCAACTTCATCAACAATTGCAATATCAAATTTACGTTGACAACGTGTGCCCAATAAACTATATTCATCTTTCAATATATCGAATTGAAACTCATTGACATTACCATAAACAATATCATTTTTATAGCATGATTTTACTGTTGATGTGCCACTATTTTCTCCAACAGTTAAATTCAACATTGTATAAAATTTCTCTTTATTTTCAGCATCACGTTTAGCCAATAATGGTGATGTAGTTACAATATCAACTTTATGTCCATTCAATGCTTTGATAGCTGCAAACATGGCAATGATAACACTTTTACCTTCGCCTGTTTTTATTTGCGCCAAACGTGAAATATTAGCATTCGACGCATGTAACATTAACAATAACGATAGGATTTGAATTGCTCTTGGTTCGAATTGTTGTTTTGTATTATGTAAAAATATTGCACGTTTAATAACGCATATCACTTCGTAAATTGATTTTTCTGAAGCTTTCTTTGAATTTTCTTTGTAATAGGTTGCCCATGTTTTAATGTCATTTTCATCCCAATGATTAATTGGTTTTCCAATCGAATAAAATTGTGAATCACAACTATATGTCGATATAATCTTGTGATATTTTTCTTCAAGACTTTCGATTGAATCATTTAGCTCTTTACTATCTTTGATATTGTTGCAGCTAAAAACAAATCGATATATAATTCACTATCGAAATAATAAATCTATGAAGATAACATAGAATTTTAAATTACTTCCTTTTGAGTTAAGCAATACATTTTGATTGTTTGGCAGAAGTGAGGATTTTGAAGTATGGTCTTTCGCAAGATCTTCTTATCTTTTGATATCTTAAAATCCGAGTTAACATCTACTTTTGAATATAATGATCATGCTACCATGGGGAAAGATTTTAGTGCAAATGTGAAAAATAAATTTAGCAAAACGATATTTTCACATATTTATAAAAAAATTCGACATTTTTCTCGTGTACTTTATTTTCTTGTACATTAATTATCTAATGAAATGACATTGATAATATGCTGTAACATTATCAGCGCATGATACTAAACTGAGAAATCGTCAAAAAAAACTTTAAAATACACTATTTCATTTTTATTTTATTTTACTTTTCTTTACTCAACGAGTAAAGATAGAGTATCAGTCCTAGTCGAATGATAGTTGAAGTGCGCGCAATGACTAAGATAATAGTTGATTATAGATGTTGCTGTAGAATATACAGGGAGAAACGCGAGCACTAGACACTCCGCTCCATGGATAGTTGAAGACATACCATTGTTTTTATGTCAACATCTCTCAATAAACTGAGTTTGATTGATACTGTGATATTTTCTAATACAATTTAAAATGACAATGCTTCCATTGTATATCACATTTTCATTCGGTAGAAATCACTCTAGTATGTTCTAATAGATAAATTGCAAGATATTTTCAGCATCTAGGACAACAGTTTCAGACCCGGACCCAACCAGGTCCGGGCTCGGGCGCAATGCGATGAGCTCTATGACTAAGTCGATATAGGAGACAAATCGCGAGATATTCAAACGAACCATGTTGCTGGTATCGATTTCAGAATATTAATCCGAAAGATTTTCATTTTGGTTATTGATACTGTATTAGTCGTTCGCTGATGGAAACATTTGAAGAGAAAAGCGTCAACTTCATTTTATATTTTCAAGGACAAACAAAAGAAGTAGTGAATAATTCGAAATCAAACTTGAACTATGTATAGAAACATGATTTGTTTTAATATCAAGCATATATACAAATATAACTTGAAATAAAATAATTAGATTCGAATCAAACACATACCTTTTCATTTCATTAAGTAGATCTTTTAAGTTTTTCTCATGTTCATCTCGATCAAATGAGACTGATATCGCAAACTGATGCATCTTCAATGGCCAATCTTTGGTATTTTTTAACTTGAATATTGATTCTACCCTATTTCCACTTTTATCTGATATTCCGTATTGTAAATTATAATTATTAATTACAGCTAATGTACTAAGAAAATTGTCCATCATCAACTCAAACGGTTCATCTTGTTTGGTTTTTAAAATGTCAATAAATTCTTCAAATACTTCTAACGACCAACCATTCAGACATGTTAACATAATAGCAGATTGAATATTCTGTAAAATGTCTGTCTTGATGCATTGTCGTAACTTATATAGATCGAGAAATTTCTTACTAATTAAATCGCATTGAATGTCCAATATCCATGAGTTTATGTCTTTGGTGATTATTTTCTGTGCGTCTATTCGTGTAAAATAGTCACTCAAATTCAGTTCTTTATAAATATTTTTCTCGTATAAATAGTCTAGGAAAAGTATTAAGTGATTGAAATCTTCAATATGATTAAAACGTTGAAGAAAACATTCACTTAATGAAACACTAAATTCAAGTTTTGTCATCAATAAATTAGCTATTTTTTCTGCATGATCATCAGTCATAATAATACTTTCGTTAAGTTTAATATGTTGATATTTCTTGACAATTGTATGTATCCAATGAATTTGTAATTTTTTTAGCCAATCATTGGAGGGAAAAAGTAGCAATAGTAATGCTTCCGAATTTGTTTTCATCAATAGTAAAATTTCATTAATATTTTTTAAAGTGAAATTTGAATGATTTTCTATAAAAAAAATTAAAATTTCGTCACGATCTAACGAGTAAGATTGAAAACCAAAAAAGTTTTCCAAAGCATTCAGATTTGCATAGAATTCGAATTGATTCATTTTATCATATTTATTGTGCTGATAAATGCGCGATAATAAGTCACCACATAATAATTCCCGACATATAAGTTTGAATGGTTTTTCATCAATATCGGTCTCTATATATTCTGCAACTAAGAAAGCATGAATAATGTGTAATTTAACTTGAATTGGTAAGTTGATGCTCTTATTTAAAATATTTTCTATTTGTAAGTACAATGGATGTCGTTCTAAAATATCTTGTAGATAAATTAAAAACTCAGTTGATGGTTTGTAGGTTGGCAAATATTTAAGAATATTTAATATTGATTTATGCATTGTTTCCCCATCACCTTTCATAGTCTTTTCTAAACATTCAATTACATCTTCTTCGAGTGTTTGTTTATTTATGGCGAGATTTTTCAAAATTTTCATAATATCTAAACGTTGATTCCGAATGATTTTATCTTGACTTTGAAGAATTTCTTCGAAACGATTTATTGTTGTTTTAGTCAACTTACAACCATTCTGTGCTCCTTTGAGAAAAATTTCATAGGATTCAGTTAAATTGTCAAGTAATTCATGTTCTGAATTGTCTAGTATCTCTTGTGTTATCAGTGCTTGTGTGTCATTTGAAAGAAGTTTAATTATTTCAATTAAAATTCCTTTATTGAATCGACTATCGTTAGTCAAACGACTCAATAAATTGAGAAATATTGGTGGTAATTTTTGACCGTTTCGAACAGCTAATTTCATTAATTGTAGTGTTTCTTCTTCAATATCTTTCATGCTGAATGAATTTTTCAATAGGTATTCAAGTGATTCTATTGTATTTATTGATAATTTGTAACCATCACGAATAAATTGAAGACAATTATTAATGGCTAACTTTTTATTTTCAACATTCATTGTTGGATCTCGTAAATGTTTAGAGAAAATTTCGAATTGAATTCGTTTGAATATATCTGGTGAAATTTTTTCATATTTTGCTATCATTTCTAAACTATCGATAACACGATCTCTTAGTGTTTGATTGTTGTTTTCAGATATGAAATCAATTAATATATACAATGCTTCAATTGGAAAAGATTTTTGTAAACGAATCAATGCTTTTAAAATATTGATTATAACATTACTTAATGCATTATCAGATATGGAACCCAGAATAAATCTAATTTGTGATGTATTTAAATAAGCTGCAAGACATTCGAAAATTTTCACAACAATTAATTTGTATTCAATAGAAGAATCATTTAAATCGAAAGATAATTCAAGAATTCTCATGTTATGCATTGATACAGATCCTTCTTCATCTTGAACAATGGATAACAATTGTTGACCTGCTTCTAAACGGCTTGTTCCATTTCGATTTTCTAAAATTTCTTGAGCAAGCATTTCTTGTTTGATGATTTGCTCTATCTTATATATATAAACTTTATTTCCACATGCCTTACACATCGGAAGATATTGTTCAAGTATGCTTAGCGAGATATCTCTTAAATTGATTGTTGAAGAATAACTTGTCATTGTTTGAGCATCATCAAATTCATCATCTTGTAAATAAATTTTTCGAAGATGATCTAACGTTGAATTTGATAGAGTTGTCCGATGTGCAATGAGAGCATTTAATGCTACGCAACTAAAATATTTTATTTCTCTTGTTGAACTGTTTGATTGAAAATAAATTTCAATTAATGTTGAAATTTGTTGACTTGGTAATTCTTCATTGATAGATAGATTTTGTAATGAATAAGCCAATGTTTCAATGAGATTTCTTTGCATATCATAATCTTTTTGATCTTCTAATAAACATACAAATTTTTCATAGATTTTTCTATCGATTTGAATTTCATTGCGATTAATTAATAATTGGAATATTTGTATCGTATATTTTGAACAACATTGATTTACAAGAAAAAACTCTTTAAATTGTTGAACCATTTTATCAGTCAATGATTGCCCATTTTGAATAACATAATATAGAATTTGGATTAAAATTTCAATTTTTTCAATATTCTCATTGTTACAAAGCTGTGCCATCAATGTTTCAATCAAATAAATTGATAGTTTTTGACTATTTTGTACATATTGAAGTAAAATTAAAATTAATTTTGAACTATATGAATTTGTTTTTAATATAGTATCAAATACTTTGAATACATTCATTGATATTATTTTATTATCGAAATCTGTATCATTGATATATGCACTTAATTTCTTTTCAAACTCATCATAATCGAATTTGTTGAAGTTTTCTTGTTGCAAAATGTTTTGTGCTATTTTTTCTAATTCTATCAAATTACGTGCATTCAATGGAACATCGGATTGTTTCACAATAATTTGATTTAATGACTCGAAAATATATTGATCTATGGATTTATTCAGATTTGTTTGTAAACCAATACAAAGATTACTGATTTCATCATGTGTAAATTCTGTTTTCAAATTATATTTAATAATTATTTCTAATAATTTTGCTGCATTTAAAGATAATATTTCGTCTGAACTCAATAGTAGTTCGGTAGAGAATGTTGAAATATTTTGTACACAAGATTTGATCATAGAAAAATAGGCATCATTCATTTTATGATACAATTCGAAAAAATATTGAAATGCAACCAGAGCAGTAACACAAACAATAGAATCGACATCATTTAATGCATTTTCTAATCCATCAATTTCATATTGTGTTAAAATTTGTTTATTTTGAATTGCCAACGCAATTATTAAACAGGCATTTTGACGTATTTCTTTGTTGATATTATCTCTATTGAGTATTACTACAAATTTTCGAAGAGGAAATATTGATAAGTAATCGTGTTCATATTGAGCTATATTTTTAAGTGCATAGATCGAACTCTGCAATAACTTTTCATAATCTAGTCGCTCTATAAGAATATCAATTGTATCGTCAACAATTGATATGCTGCTATCATCATCGATATACTGATATGGTATTTTACATAAATTACCCAAAAGAATTGTTACATATGCTCGTAAACTTTCCTCTAAATTTGTGTCTTTCAAATAATGTTTCAATAAATTTGCATTCAATCGTGTCAACTTCAATTGATCATCGTTTAAAGCACATAAAATTTTTAGGGAATATTCAAGCATTTCTTTGTTGTTTGAAGACATTAAATTGAAACAGGTCGAAATATTATTTAATGTTTTCGACGTCAAGCGTCCATCAAACAATTGATTTTCAATGGCTTTTTGAAGAATATACAATGCCGAACGATTCAGAAGCATATCTTTTTGGTCAATAACTTCAATAACCAAAAGTTCAGAAAAAATCTCCAGTAAATTCTCGTTTATCTTGTATTTTCGGTATAGCAAATTTAAGAAAAATGAATTTATCAGTCCACATTTTCCATAATTATTATTAATGTCTTGATAGATGTTTGACAAAAGTAATTCCATACAATGAATGGTTTTTTGGGATATCTCATTTTGCTGATTCCGAACTAATTGTTCAAAGGAATTTAATGTATAAGATTGAACAATGTCCGAAGGATCATCTAATGCATCAGACATTGTATTCAATAATGAAGAGTTCAAACGTAAATCATTCTGCTGTTGAATAATAGTGTATAAAAGTTTCGATGCATATCTTCTTAGTTTCAGAGATTGTTCACCTTGTAGTGCAATTGAAAGTGCATTTAAACACAAATCTGATGCTTTTCGACCATTTTTTATAAGTAAATCAATAGTTCGAATTGAATTCTCTTTTGTCAATTGTTCGTGATTATTGATGATAATATTGCAAAGTCTTTCATATACTAAATCAGATATAAATACTTTTTTCTCAGATAGAGCCAAGAATACGCGGCAAGCACAGTTGCTCGATTTTTCATTTAATAGATCATCTGCACATTTCTTCATTCGATCTTCGCTTAGAGTTTCGCCATTTTCGATTCGATCGATAATTGTCTCAACATCATCAATAATATCAGACATTTTTCTATCTGAAAATAATGTAATTCAAACAACAGAAGTTATTTCATTGAAAATGAATGTCTAATATCTACAATGAAACATTATATAATATTGTGAAATGAATTCGAATAAATCATGCAAAATATATCTAAGTGGCCGGCAAGTATCAATCCATTTTTATTTTGCATAGTTGACATTTTGTGCAAGAAAATGAAGCCCTACACATGAAAAGCTCATAACATCATAATTTCGAAGTGCAAGGAAATCTCATGTATGCGGAAATGAGATGTTAATTACATGTTTTAAAAGATTAATTTGAACTGCAAGAGTATAAGCAGTTCTTTTCAATTTAGAATTTTTAATCCTTTCGAACTCTAGGGAGAGTCTAAATGAAGCATCCGACAGTCTGCAATATTTCTGACAAACAATTCGAATAAGGGACCCTTTTCGTCGGTATTCCACCTATACCAACTTAGTGATCCTCAAAGAAAGAGAAACTGCAGCACGATCAAAAGTAATTAGAACCAATTGACTTGAAATTCATGGAGAATTTGATTTTGCGGCAAATTCTAAAAAGACAGGATTTACTTATACATTGAACTAAAAAAAATAAAACGATACTTCAGTCACTACAGCCAACTAGTATATTCTGTTTCATCGTATTCATGATCACAGTGATACCAGTGATGTTTACGATACTTGCACCATAGACAACGTAAATAAAGCAGGCACCGCAAGTGTTGTTAGTTAATGGCTTTAATATAAATTCTTTTTTCTTAATTGAGAAAATGATTATGACACAAAATTGCATTTCGCATCAAATAGATCTTATGGGGGAAAACAGATGATATCCTTGTGAACTGTTCATCGAAACCTACAAACTAGCATTGGGACAGTTGCAATCTGAAACTGATCCATAGGGTACTTCTCCTCGTCAGTAAAACAGAATTCTATCTAATTATGATCGACGGATTTCATATAAAAATTGGGACAAAGAAATTTCGTACTAGTGTCCCAGACACCCGGTAATCCATCGGGATTTTCGGAATTGATTTTGCCTTTAAAAGCATTTACCGGGAGTACGCAACACATGTTGGTTAGGATATCGTAATTAAAAAAACAGGGAAATCGGAATGAAATGGCCGACAATATGTAAAATACTGTCAGGAAATCGAGATGAAAATGGCCGAATGTCCGTAAACTCATTTTACCTGGAGATCGTAAGTATATCATAATACTTATAGAGTGCGCTATCTTAAGGAGAATGGAAATACTATATAATTAAAAATCTCCGCTTGCAAATGTTATTGGTTAGGCGATTAATACAAGCTACTGAAAGAATTGAAACCTCTCAAAAACGTGTACACATGAACATAGCCACGAACATCCTGCCTCTTTTCATTACGATCTTCATGTTTTCATTGATAAGATCTTTCGGTCATTGTCATCCCGAACCAATGCAAATTTCAGTTTTTTGTTTTTCAAAAATACTCCTGTCCGTTACGGTCTATTGGACAACTTTCATTCCGAACACCTTGGCTGTTTTAAATTTTTGTCATTCCGCAGAGCATGTGTGTTTTTATATGCCGGGGAAGTCGTAACGAACATCCCCTCAGGCAAATCGTAATACCAAGTTAGTGCGAAATGTCTCTTTCCCATCAAAATATATGAACTTACATATGACCGCCTGTATTCACTGATTAAAAATAGTAATTTGTTCATAAAAATAAAAAGATTGAAATCATCTATGAGACAAGGAAGAGTTCATGTGAAAGTATATAACTTCTATTTCTCTACTACAAAAGGATAACGGCAAATGGTATCTTGAAAAGCTATACTCTAATTACTTCTACTACCTTCCTATTGTCAATCTCAACAAGTGTTTTGAGCCTACCATTTCATTATTTTTAACATTAATGATCACAATCTGGTTATTTTAAATGATTTCCATCTTATCTGCAGCTGAGTTGTATTCTCGGTTATTGTGAAAATGAATACTGTTAAATCACAACGAACCGTTCAAAGATATATAGTATTTTTACACTATATCATATCATAAAAAATGAAATCTTAGACATTTATATAAACTAACGATTTTATTCACAAATGGAGCGTCTTTATAAACGGAGTATGCAGTCTTATTTATTCGAAACAAAGAGTCAAACATGATTCCAGGAGAATCATGATAGCAGAAAACGTTGTTTCTAGTTTTCTAAACAAAAGTTTGTTTTCTACTTTCTCAAAGATGGGTTGTTATCTAACGGGAAAATCTGGCTATTTTAAGCCGGGTAACCTGAAGAGAGCCTTGTTATCAATACACGAAACTGATTCAAGAAAATAAACCTTATTATCTAACTATTGAAATCATATATATGTGATACTTGAAAGTTGAAAGTTGAAAGCTCAGTTGAGTTCAAGTTTCAAGTATGACACTACTGTTTCTTGTTAGCGCTTCACTCAGTTTGTTTCGTTATTCTTCGAATAAATGCTTTTGATTATTCAATATGGTGATTCGTTGTTCTATAGCAATTATGCTTGCATTTGTGTCATCCAATATTTGCTCTTGTTTAATGAGTGTAGATTGGAAATTGTCTCGTTCTATAGTGCGAGCATGTTGCTGTTCTCGTAAGTTTTGAAGTTCTCCGTGAACATTTTTTGTTTCGGATGTAGGACTTTAAGATCATCAGCATGTGTCTTCTGTATTACTTCAGATTTGTCCAGTTTTTCTTGGATTCGATCGAGGTGTTTAACGGCTTTTTCAATTTCTTTGTTTGTATCATTTATATCCCATTCATATTCTTCTACTCGTTGCTTATCATTGCCACCAATGGTCTGTATTTAACGTTCCGATTCATCATATTCTTCAAGTTCTTTACGAGCTTCCTGCTCCTGTTCTTCGCTTAATCGAGCCAATTCGAGCTCACGTAAACGACGCATATTTTCTTCTTGTAATCGACGTTGCTCATCTTCGAGATTAAAATTGGTCGCCATTGAATTTCGTGCTACAATGTTTTGATGCCGTTTATCTTGACTGATCAAATAGGAAAATTTTCACAATAAAGTATGCTACATATGAAATACGTGCGTGTCGCGTGACATTGGAGAAAGAGAAAAAACCCATCAATATGAGTAAGAAACGAAAAATATTGCACAACGTGCCATTTCAAGGCAAAAGATAACAGCTACGAGGGTACACAAACAGAAAAGAAAAAAAACTTGCAAAAAGCCCTCCATCGTACAGCAAAAAAAGTAATATGTTGTAAATCAATTCTGATTATAAAGACCTGTGCAGTGCTTGATTATTGCTGAAACTTCTCTTTTGAATCTATCGTTTCAGAGAGTTTGTCATTCAAGAAATAGACGGCAATGTTAGTGCCCAAAACGTAAGTAGCCAGATAACCAAAGTATAGTGCATCTCATCAGATTACTGTGTTACCATAGAAAAACGAAATTGGCAACCTTTGTTCATGCTAAATCCCGATTCTTTTTGTTATTTTTGCTTTTGTTTAAGTATTTTTGATTATGAATGGCATGAAGATATTCTCCAAGTTAGCAAAAAAATTAACAGTTTTCAAAATCGAGTTATCTTCAAGTAGACTACAATAGAAAAAGGCCTAGTATTTTAAGATTTTGATTGGCAGAAATTGTTGTTTTTTTATAGTAAATACACATGATTTTTGGGATCATCAGAGAAGTATATACCGAAAACCTTCATAACTGGCATCATGAAATACTATGGGAAAATCCATGATAAACGTACCACTTTATACATGATATTCTCAAAATCGAATGAAACTTTCTGGAGTTGTAGAACTCGATGAATTGATCATTTTGGTACCAAATTATTAAAGGTTTGAATCTAGAATCAAGTTGAAATGGACAAAATACGATTTCCAGAATTTCGAGAAAATCATGCCAAAACTGATGAGTTTCGAATTTTGTGAGAGTATTTTCCCCCTTATTTGCCGAGCAAAACAAAACGTTCTATGTATATACATATTGATAGCCCGCGTTCAGCTGTGTCGAACCATATATAAACCAAATAGTTCAGTTTTTAAAAGTGAACCATTTAATGAGTGTACAATTTTTCTTACATCTAAACAAACTTTGTCCTGCGGTAAAAAACCCCATCCGAATTTGGCTCAGTAGTGGTGTACTAGATTTTTTACAGCGTCATCTGCTCTATCTTCTGCCCATGGAAAAGAAACGAATAAAAAATAATGGTTAAAAACGCATGTTTTTGTTAATGAACCGCGTTCTTTAGATGCAAGAAGATGCTAACAAAGAACGCCTTTTTAAGACGCTTTTGATGTTCTTTTGGAATGTATTATCAACAGAGCCCGCGAGAAGGACCTAATATTGGGGAGGGGAAGGGGGAGGGGGAGGGGGTGTTTGCAACAAAGTTCGCAAAAAAGCTCAAAACTTACAAAAAATCTTCTCCTGTAGCTGAGAAAAATTGAAAATTTTCAATTATTGGGGGAGGGGGTGTACAACCCCCCCACACACACACACAAACACTCCCACTTCCGCGGGCTCTGATTATCAAGAATGGTTTTTGCGTTTGTTCCGTGAGACACTGCGTTCTATCAGTGTTAGAATGCGACCATAAAATGCAACGTCAAAAGGCATTGTCGAAAAACGAGTTTTCATCAATAAGAAACACGTTTAATCAAAACAGTTCTTTGGTATTAATAACTCGCTCATATGTAATACATTCTTATTGTTAAAAGACAAACGCGTTCCTAAACTGGAAGAACGTCTTTTTTTATTAAACGTGTTCCTAATTGATGAAAACCCATTTTTCGATAATCCAATTTGACGTTGTTTTTGATAATTGCATTATAAGACTGCTAGAACGCAGTGTCTCGCGCAACAAACGCAAAAAAAACATTCTTGATAATACATTCCAAAAGAATGTCAAAAGTAGGGATGCACCAATTCCAATTCTTAGAATTGGTTGGAATTGGTTGGGATTGATTAGAATTGGCTCGAGTTACCTAAAATTCGTATGAAATCCTAGAAATTTATATCGAAATAATTTGAAATTGGCTAGACTTGGCTTCATCTGGCTACAATTCGAATGGAATCCTAGGAATTCATATGGGTCTGAAACTGACTCGAGTTGGGTTGAGTAGGTTAAAATCCCTATGGAATTGCTATAAATTAGTTGGAATTGGTCAGAATCGGTATGAAATTGATTTGAAATTGGCCAGGATTGGTCAAAATTGCTCTAAAACTCACTTAAAATTGGTCATATATAGATGTATCAAAGGATAGAGAGCCGCTTGAGCAAAAATGACTTTTTATCTATGAATCCTACAAAATAAAACCATAGACTAATTTCTACCACTTCAACTCAAATTTGTTGTATAGCTGACCATAATTATAATTAATGCTAGTTGGTAGCAGTGAACTTTGGCATCAATTATGACTAATTTTAACCAATTTTACGTCGGTTTTCGAGCAATTTTGACCAATTCTAGCCAATTTCCGATCAATTTCATACCGATTCTGACCAATTGCTAGCAGTTGAATATAAGCTGTAGACAAGTCAATCAATTTTCATATCAATTTCAACCAATTCTAACTAATTCACAGCAATTCCATAAGGATTTTTGTAACGATTTCTGGTGTTATGGATATTGTTAAGCTTGATGTTGAGTGCATATTTTATTTCAATATCAAAAACCGTCCCCTTCTGTATTTCTCTCGTTCCTTATATACTATTTTCTAGCATGTAAGGACCTTGAGAAATACCGTAGATACAATAAAGCAAGAAAGTGTATAAGATAAGGCGTACGTATTGGTGCTATGCTAACATGCTGATGGTAGGATAAATATTCCAACAGTGATGTTGCGTACTCCATCTGGTACTAAGCGCGAGCCAAGAACAAAATCCCTCGTACTCTTGCGTAGTGAGAAAGAGAGCGGGATAATAGTATGGGTGAGAAACTAACAAGATGGTGCCCTTGAGGTATATTTCATTCGAGGGTTTGTAACTTCTAGAATAGATCGTTACAATTTTAACCTACTCAATCCAATCCCGCCAATTCCGAGCCAACAATTGGAATTGGTGCATCTCTAGTTTCAACATGATTTTCCCGAAATTCAGAAAATTGTATTTTGCGGATTTTTAGTCATAACCCTTATTCATACTTGTAATCATTCATTACCAAAATGATTAACTCACTGAGCTCTACAAACCCAGCAAGTTTCATTCGATGCTAAGAAAGTTGATGTAAAAATGGTACGTTTTCCATGGATTTACGGGTTACCGAAACTTCGACATTCGGATTCTCGCCAATAGGACGTTCGACACTAGCGAAAATCCAGTAATACATCGACGAAGTTACTGAATCCCGGATTTACCTATCCCTTTTTTGATATTTTACGTAAATAGGACCTTATGCTAAGAGGGTGATTCTTTTTTGATAACCTTGGAAATGTCTGTGTCGATTCTTTATGGAAAAATTGCTAGCATAGCTGGAATTACGCTTTCTTATGTTTCCTCATATCATATTATCGCATCGGTTACATAGAAAGCACATGCTTATATACGGAATTCGTTTGATACCCAGATCGAAAAATTTGACACAAGATCTTATGAAGCACATACAAGATCTTATGAAGCACATACAAGATCTTATCAGATCTTACAATATGATTGCTCGACCTGGGTAGAAGAAGAGAACATAAATGAAAATGAAGATAAGGACAGAAAATAGAAGAAATGCAATAGGATCAAAGTACAACGGAATGTACGAAGTATCGAGAGAAAAATAAGGACAATACATAAGATGAGAAGAAATAGTAAGTGAAGATCAAAGAATATGTATACAACACACTCGACCAGAAGCATTACAATATCTTAGACTTGGGTGAAAAATTTTGATATAATAATCCTATTCATAACCAAAACAAAAACTGATAAAACAGAAAAGCTGACTGTGTATGTTTATGTCAGACTGTTTAATCATGTTTTAGAGTTTTTCTCTTCAGAAGCTCAAAGAATAATTATATCGATTATTAATTGTTTTTCATTTTTCAATATATCTGTCATAGACTTTGTGAAGCTAAAATCCTGACTCAAATTTCGCTGTTGAACTCTCAATATCATTATAATGTTAGATGTTAAATAATCTTTTCTATAATATCTAAAAGGATAGTGTTTAACTGACAACTTTTTCATAATACACTGTTCTCTTTAGTTGAGTTGGAAGTTTTGCTTTGACTAACTTGGTAAGTGGGTGTTTTAATATGCAATTGGTAATAGGTCTGTGCATTTGAGCCGATGCATATGTGATGTTTTCCTCTTCTGTTACGTCCACCGATTGATGGGACGGTTCATCACTCAGAAAGACTTTAATGAACCCACCAAACCTCCGATCTCAGCGTGTGCACTAATGCCAAGACTTGTATGCCCCACAGAAATCAAGTAACACCCTCAATTAAGATTACCTCAATTCAGTGAGACGGGATTTGTGCGAACGTCCATGCTCGGACTGCTCGATAACTACACTGTTACAAAATGTACTCACAGGGCGAACTCAAAAGTATACCTCACTTTCAATTACACTCATAGCACATACTCTGCATATATAGTTTGTGAAAACAAGAAAGTGATCGCTGATTCTTTCCGTTTCCAAACCAACGTTTATCAATTCTCAATCGGAATTGCTTATATAGACAAAAGCGGTAGCATTAACACAGTTGTAGTAGTTTATGTACTTTTTTTTTATTTCAGATTGTGTATTTTTATAAGAAAAATGACAGAAAATCGTTCATCAGTATTTGCTTATTTTAATGTCACCGAATCAATCCAAACGATCGATCGTGTACGCCTTGAAGCAGTTCGTTCTGCTTATGCAAATATCAGGGACGATGAACTGACCGACACTCAACGTTACAATGCAGAGGAAAAAGTCAAATTACTGACCGATAAATTTCCTATCATGAATGATGCAGAAAATCTTGCACTTTTGAATAAATGCGTCCTAGGACAGTATTTGGAACTCGCCTGCCAAGCAATCTTGGGTGACTATGTTCATAAACGTACACAAGAAATGCGAAGAGCTAGAACAAATAATACATCCACGACTACTTCAACAATCTCAAATCAAACAACAGGATCACCTGCGCAAGTGTCCACAGCGTTCAATGCTACTGAACCTTTGCCAAAAGCTTTGTGTCAAATTCTGCTGAAAAAGAACCCAACGATCGTTTTCCAATTCATTCAGAACTTTTTGTTATGTCCAATTCATCAGACACCAACTAAAACTATGTAAGTTGTGGTTTTTATTTGAATCTTCAGTTGCAGATGATCGGGAAAATAATTCATCATTTTAAAATCATATATCTAAACAATTGACATGCTATTTTTGATCGGGTAGATTAATTCCAATGTTTTCTCCATCGTTTATTTCTGAGAAGCAGAGAAAGATATGTGCTAGGAGAAGCGAAATTTCTAGAATTCTAATGTAGACTGCCGATCAAAGAATCATGAGTTCATCAGAGATAAATCACGATGCTCAAAAAATTCTGGAAAGAAGATAATGAGCAGACAGACAGGTACGAGCAAGAAGCATTGTCTTTTTTCTGTGATTACTTCATCGCTTTGAAGAATGTCAACATCATATTAAAAATTGATTATCCTGTCACTATTTTAATCTGATTTTAATCAGTTAAAAAACTTGAATCAATTGAAATCAACTTCTAATAGTCAGTTGCAATCGATTTAATTTTAATAATTCATTTGGATAGATTAAAAAGACTAAAATCAAACGAAATCTTGTCTATAAGAATGAAAAGTCGGATTATAATCAAAATAAAACAGTGGCATTATAATCGATTTTTTACATGGGAATGTAGAAAAGCTCTTAGCAAAAAAAAACTGGTCACCTTGTTCGTGCTTATTGTTGATGCTGTTGTTTTTCTTTTGGATTCGTTTGATATGCGCTAATCGAACTATCTATTCATATCGAAGATTAACATTTCACCATCTAACTTGATTGTGTTATCTGTAAAACTCCTATTTGACACATTCATTGATACCCATGAGCTCGACTATCAGCAAGATCTGAGACACTGGCAAAAAATATACGAAAATGTAGAGGAATTTTGCATATGCCACGTAATGCGTTTCTTGTTTCTACGATTGTTCGTTCGCAGAATTTATTTGATGTTGTTTTGTATTAACAAAGCTTCCACATAAACCTTACGAGAGTAAGTTGTGAAACAGATTGAAAACACTTGTTACGCTATGGCCAAGGAATCTAGCTACTGATATCAAATTGGTTTTACGAACTAAAGAAAAACTTGTCGAAAATCTCTCAGAACCGCTAGAAATCATGAAAATATTATTTCAAATGATTGAAATTCAAATACATTAAGATTTTTATGTTGAAAACTTTTTTAAACCATCAAAAGTGACGATAAATGTACTTAGTCAAATAAAAAATAATGGTAGTGATACATTTCAGGTGTTGAAATCGTATATTCCAATGAATATTAATGAATTTAAGCGTGTTTAAATGTTCTGTTTCAGTGGCGTACAAACGTCGATCGCTTCTGCTCTTTTGTGAACAGATATCTATTTCAGCCTGTAGGACAAAGCATGAGTAAAGTTTCTCACTATAAACTTCAAATATCATTACTGATGCTGTTTAGAAGATCTATAATGCCATGTTGTAAAATTGGCATCATCAATGTTCGAAAACTAAAATTCTATAGATCGAAACACAAAAATACTCGATTCTCTGTGTGTCAACTTTTGTGCCGAAATAGGGTAGACAGGCTTATTTTTCTTCGTATATATCAATACTCAATGCCAAATCGTGTTTCACAAAAATTACAAGTGGAGCAAGGGTGAATCCGTATGTGAGGTACTGTAACTGATATCAAGACATTCGTATCTGAAGTTGGTTCGAGCCATACAGTACAGCGATGAGTTGGAAAAAATCTGAGCTGTTTCGTTTCTGATGCCAGCGTTAGAATTAAGAGAGTGATCATGGTGATTGGGACAATGGGATATAAATGGAAATTTCAACCTTTTGACTTTTTATCTAAAGCAGAAATCAATCCATAGAAACTCCTATGGTAAAAATAACAATTTTCGATGTTGAGAAGGAAACATTTATGAAAATCTCATTGCTTGTGATCGAGTTGCGCAGTCAAAACCAGCAATTTTTCGAATAAATCACCGATTTTCGGCAATGTTCATTTGAAGACCAACTCATATTATACAGTTTGATAGGGAATTTTAAACCCTAGAAAAATGTGTGTATTTGTTAGATTTTATGTACATGATTATGTACAAGATGCTGTTTTTATTAAGTTTAAATCTATCTCATTTCCTTAATTCTGATTTAAACCGTCTTTAATTAGGCAGCCTTTCATAGAAAGAACTGATCTATTTATGTCAGATGTTAGGAGAAAGGCATAATATACCAACAAATAGCACACTACAGTTGGAAAAGCTTGTTAGAACAGCCCCATTCGGGGCTAAAATGTGAAATTCACACATCAATTTTTAGCATCGTTATACTAGCACAAAATACACAAAAGACAAAATCTGTAAAAGACGAAAGTTCTTTTCACTTGCTGATCGACTGTCAACAAACGCTGTCTTTTGTATTTCTATATTTTTCGTTTTTCTCATTGTTGCTACTCACCCTTTCGTTTTTATTTTTTGATTATTATAAGCATTGGATTAAATGGCAAATAAGGCGGGTATAAATATGCATTTTATAATCCTGCTTGTTCAGGTCTGTAATGGGGATGACGGGAGGGGGCCGGGTTATAATTCTCTATAACTGACTAATACACTGGTTTCTAGTGTGTGTAATGCGTATGACTTGCTTTTCTCTGTTTTCTATCATGCCAAAGAGAGAGGTAGAACCTCAATTAGACCAATCTTTCATTAGGGAGGTGGGAACGGTTAATTATCTTGCCTGTAATGAAGATCGAGGATGAGGGGGTCAGGAGCCGCAAATAGTCACTTTAAAACTTACCCTCACCATTTTCTTCGAAAATATATGTGAGTCACACAAAAATATAGAGTTATTACACCCTAGAAAAAAACCGAGAGAACACACTGGGAAAAATACTTGGCAGGACGAAATAAAAACAGAACGCTATTCAGAAGAAAATATATATGTAAAGAACGGAACGGAACGAACATATGTGGATGATAACATTATTGTTATGTTCGTTGTATGATTTCTTTTTGTGTTAAGATGCAAAATGCTGAAAAATGAGATAATAATCCGATTTCAAGATTTTTCATCGAAGTGCTAGTCTTCCAGTGTAAAGAGTTGATAGAGACCAATATTAAATACTGAAAAGCACTGTTTTCGGCTACGTTATATGGTCATAAACGACCAAGTTATGAACACGTTTTTTTCTTAGTCAACATGTAAGACTGCGCTGTTTATGATTAAACTGTCTATAGAAACCCAGGAGAATCAGGGTACGTCGGAATCGATCAGAACCGATCGGTTTCGTTGAATTCCGACGATTTCCGGGTCGAAATTTTGCGGAACTTAACGGAATCCATAGGATCCGATGCCGGAAACGATCGGATCCACTGGTCGGATTGAATCTCCTGGGCAAGTATGTTTAATATAAGAGGTTAGGCATAACGAATGCTTGTGTTTTGTTTTTCATTTGTTTATCATGTGAAACGTTATATTTTAAGAAAACGAAAGTATACCACAAAGCGAAATTTCAAAATTTTTATAATTTACAAACAACAGCTTATTTTCTACTTACCCCCTTTTGCTTTCGAAATGAGTAGGGTTTTTTAAGAACGATTGCTGACACTATGAGTGCCTCCATTAACTGATGCAAGACGATTTTTCTTTACTTATTTTCTCAATTAAGAAAATATACTTTTTTTAACTTGATACAAGTGCATATTATTGACGATAACGTCCCATATGTATCGAAAACATTGGGGTTAAGAATATTAGTTATTCATTCGTGATTGTTTAGAAAATTCATGAAGTTTTCTTCACGTCATACTGTTGATTACCTATGAATATGTAGCATGATACTCTTGAGTTTATACGTAGATGAAATCGTCACTTGCAAGCCGTTCATCTTCAGGCTAGCGCATGCGGAACAATAATTTGAATATGATTCTCACGACTTAATACTAAATCAGGTTTATATAAAATTAGAGACGAAAGGCCATTTAAGATAGATCTAAAAAGGTCACAACTTTTTAAAAACATTAACCGTTGCTTTTTGGCCACCGTGCTCATCTTGCAACATTAACGCATTTGAATTAAAAACTGTGTTTATCCATGAATAGAATTTTCTTCAACATATGAGAGAATGTGAAGTAATTGTTGACAAAAAGTGATTGCGTTCGCCAGGCTGAAAATGAGTTTCACAAAATTTCGTCTATTTTGAAAACAAGAGGACCATCCATGAAATGAATTGTTCTTTGAAATTAAAATTCGACCACTTATTTTCTGCCATAGACTAGGAGAGAGAAATCAAAAACTGAAGTTTTGAAGTTATATTGATTATATGCAAAGTTGGACAAAATATCTCTTTAATCAAGTTTCGTTTTGTTGAAGTTCTAAGCATTTCAAATAAATGCAAGCAGGGGAGGGATTGTGTTCAATAGCAGTATTAATAAGCAATAATTTTCGTACTATTATTTACTTTAGATTGGATCTGACAAATAGTTCAATATCATCCAATTATCTTGTGGGAGGACCGATACTTTCTGGCTCCACATTGGATGTGTTTATTCGTACTCAACTGAACATTCGTGGTGGCACGATTGATGCTGGACGTGAATTAACAAAATTTCCATTAGTTGATCCAATCGTATTGGTTGACGAGTTTGATACGTGGTACTTCGATCATCTTCATGGACTATTTGAATTGAATCTGGTCCCTATTGAAAACACGTTTCCGCACAAATGGAAATTGACGCCTGATACAAAACTTTTCTATGTATTCGAATTTGCAGATGACATTAGGAGTACGAATCAAGATGATGCACAAAGACCAATGAGTATTGATCGGCCGAGAACTGTATCTTTACAATGTTTTGTTGCAGATGTTTGTGAAAAAGAAAACAATGGTATGACTCAAGACTGGACCAAAGCTTTACGTGCTGATCATCTTTTTACTTATGATCATCTTGCCAATTTGAAATTTACCGAATGGGATCAATTGAAGGAGTTGCCATTGAATGGAAGAAAGATTCTAAAATCGTATGTCGATCGAGAAAAGCAAATGGCCAGTGATATCAAAACATCGGGCAAGGAAAGCAAAACTAAGTCAAGCACTGATATTCGTGAGTAGAATCTAAGAATAATATGAGACTTTTGAATTTTTCTTGTTCTGACGGTAATGTTGGCACTAACAATGGAGGTGTTTGTACTGTCCCCCACGAAAACCGCTCATATTGGTATCAAATGAAAGGTCTCATTGCCAAACTAACAGGGTTAAAATATTAGCGGTCCATGGCTTGCCTAGAGGGAGATATTCGATTTTTCAGTGAATTTTCTCTGCAGGACCCGGTTTCCCAGCAAAGTCATATTCTCGAATTTGCACCTGAAATTTTGTATGCTTGAAAGTCTTAATGAGACTAGCTTACGGAAAAAAATTCAGAAGTTTCGGACAAACTATATACGATATATAAATCTCTCAAAATGTACAACTTCTATCGAAAATCGCCAATATTTTGAGAGATTCACATCTCGTATATAGTTTGTCTAAAACTTCTGAATTTTTTTCCGTAAGCTAGTCTCATTAAGACTTTCAAGCATACAAAATTTCACGTGCAAATTCGAGAATATGACTTTGCTGGGAAACCGGGTCCTGCAGAGAAAATTCCCTGAAAAATCGAATCTCTCCCTCTAGGCAAGCCATGNCAGAGAAAATTCACTGAAAAATCGAATATCTCCCTCTAGGCAAGCCATGGACCGCTAATATTTTAACCCTGTTAGTTTGGCAATGAGACCTTTCATTTGATACCAATATGAGCGGTTTTCGTGAGGGACAGTACAAACACCTCCATTGTAAGTAGTTTTCGAATTTTTTTATCAAAAGGCCTGTTCATTATCAATAATTTAATACGAAGAGAAAACGTTGCCCCAACTCTTTTGAGCGAGTTTTATAAGTGCCTCAATGCACCGACATTGTTTTGTGAAAAGATTGATTCGATCCAAAATGACCGTTTTGTTTTTGCTCGATACGATTAAATGATTAGAATATGAAAATTTCGTCTGATAACAATTTTCGACTTATCCTTTCCATATTCATTTTTGGTTTTTCATTTTTTGTTTGCAGAATCTGTATCTGAACTACGGGCGTATATTCACCAGATCACATTGTACTTTCATTATGTATTGTTCAGAGAATTTTCAAAAGCGGGAGTTCAATCTCCAGCTAAATTAGATGCTGAATGTGTTCAATTATCGTTTGATGAGATGCGCCGTGAAGGTTTCGCTGACGATGGTCTATTCGATCAAATGAAATTATTTTTTCTACCACTAACCATGGTCGAAGAAGATCTAACCATAAACAAAAAGGTATGGAAATCAATATCAAAGAGTTTATCAACAGAACGAAACACATTGATGGGCAAAAAACAAGAATTAAGCATTCAACTGAATGAAAAACTAGATGAGTATTATCGCCACGATGATGCGATTCGAAATTTAAGACTTAATCCTCAGTCTACTACACAAAGATCCGCTGAGGCCAGGAGAGAGGAGTATGAAACATTTTCTACGACGGAGTTGATTCAGGAACACAGACTAGCTATGCAAAAATTTGAACCAATACGAGAAAATCTACAAAAACAAATTGAAACGATCGATGATCTTATAAATAGTATAAATCAAAGTTTCTCGGAAGAAAACATCAACAGTGGCACAAAGTTCGATCGAGATTTAATCAAGCCCAATCGGGGTTTCATCATGTATGGCCCACCGGGTAGGTTTTTGGAGAAAAATGTTCCATTTGAATTCGCATTTTCATCTCTTATCTATATCCCTCAAGTGAGTCTGCCGTTCAAAACTAATTAGTAATTCTGTAGAGCACAAGAAATATCGAACTGTTTCAAGTATCATGATAGATTCTAAGCAAAAAAAATATTTACTGGTTTATTCAAGCGATCGACAACAATTCATGTATCATCTTTAGAAACATCAGAAAAAAATGAAAAACAAAAGCTATGAATATAAGAAGTATACTATTGAGTACAAGATTGATAGATCAAACATGACCAACAATAATAATTTACGGGTTGTCATTCGTGCATCTTTAATCCAGCAATCTCGCATTAAATACGCTAGTTTCTATATACAAAAGCTTTTTTTAAAATTTTTCTGTTGTTTCTGCATATGACAAGTGAATCTTGTCGAACGCTTGACTAAGCGACTACATATTTTTTGCTTTAAATCTAACATGAAGCTCATAGCAGGTCTATTAATTTTTTCTCTAGCCGTTCGATAGAATTTGATAGTCAAATGCAATTTCTTAATAATCATTCGGCAAGATGAACTGATTAAAAATATATCTTTGATGGCTACTGAAGCAAAGGTTTTTTAAAGGAAACGTTTTCTGCAGAATCCCTACAAGGTTAAAATATGAAACACAATTTATTCGCTCTTCTCGTTGTGACTATTCATGCCTATATTGATAATGCTGATGTTTGCGAGCTTTATCGATCCTGTCCATCTGACATAGTATGACAGAGAAAGGGGAAGAATTCTATTTTCTCAAAAATATACTTTGACATAAATTAAGAATCATGCTTCATTGAACTCAAACATATATAGCAAGAGTGTATGATGATATAGTGACATGTGAAAACTTTGATCTTCATTTCGAGGTACTGGTAAATCGGATATCATGAGTAAATTGTCCGTACGTATGGGCATCAGCATGGTTGCACCACCACTAGCTGCTGGCGAGCTCAATCGGCCGTTGGTCGGTGAATCGGAACGAATTATTTCCGATATTTGTATGCGATGTCACCGAATACCATATCTTATGTGTTGTGTGTCGATCGATGAAATCGATTCACTTGCACCGAAACGTAAAGATGGTACAAGCGATGGAAATGTGGCTAAACTAAGTGTTCTATTATCAGTGATTGATGGCATTAAAGATGTACCAAACTTAATGATATTTTGTGCTACGAATCGTTTACATATGATGGATGATGCATTTCTACGGCGTATGTCAGGCAAATTCTTTGTTGGGCGACCTTCTTCACATGCTCGTAAAAGTATTTTAAGTGGAATAAAACCTTGGCATATGCCACCAAATTTGCTCGATGGTTTGACAACGGCTACTACCAATTTTAGTGGAGCAGCACTTCGGTGAGTAATGAGCGAGTCATTGCATGGAAAATAATATATTGAACATCAGCGAGAGTAAACAAGAAACATCTTTTATGTTTTCGATTATTTTTCTCATGTATATGAATAATTTTGAGTGCTTACTGTATGTTGTTGAATGAGAGAGTAGTGCGTAGCAGAGAGCGAAAACGAACCGAACCGAACCGAACTGAAACGGTTCGGTTCGGTTCGAATCGAGCCGAGCCGAACCGAACTCGAACCGACTTTTTGAAAAGTCAGTCGAACCAAACCGAACCCGAACCGATTTTTAAAAAGTGCACTCGAACCGAACCGAACCCGAACTGATTTTTAAAAATTGCACTCGAACCGAACCGAACTCGAAAAAGATATTGAAAAAATGAATAAATACAAGTCAATGTAGAAAAAATCTAATTAGGTGCACTATCATCTATTTCTTAAAAATATATGCTGCTGACAATGGTTAAAAGACCTTTGATCAGTTCTTTTAGGTAATTAATTCAACCTGTGTGCAATATTTTGTTCCTTATTCATATTACGTACACATTCTGTTCGTGACGGTCGGTCACTTGTAAGGGTCATACATTCTTAATTTATCTCTCTTTTTTTCTCCCATTGTCTTACGCTGCAAAGAATGGACGGATGCTCGTCTAATTGACGATAGTATATGAATGCCAAGCAGATGCTCTATCATCATTTCTCTTTCACTTCTATCTTGACATTAGTGTAAAAGTTATATTTTTGTTCCAATACACTACTCATTTCAACTTGTCATGCGAATAAAAAATTAAAGAATAAATTTGATAATTATCGAATATATATTGCAATGCTAATACAATCAAACCGAACCGAACCCAAACCGATTATTTAAAAATGTACTCGAACCGAACCGAACCGACTTTAAAAAACGAAAGACAAACCGAACCGAACTCAAACCGACTTGAAAAAAAAGACGAACCGAACCGAACTCAAATCAGAAAAAGTCGGTTCGATTCGCTCTCTGGTGTGTAGAGTACAGTGATTCAACAAAGCAATTTTACCATTACCCTAGTGAAAAGATCATGTGTGTCAGATTGACCATAGCAATAACAACACGAACTTGTAAAAGGACAGCTTACTTGTCTAAAAGAAAGGTGTTCGCAGCGAGTATTGAGAAAATATTGTCTTACAAAAAGAAAGTATCTTGATTTCGTACAGATGAACATATCACTATTACCTTCAGAAGTATACTTCAACTCACTACTATACAATCAAAATCTAAAACGATTAAAGAATGGAATGTACGTCTTTTTTTTAAGACATAGCTTCATCAAACATTCAGTAAGAGAATAATAAGCATTACAAATCATTAAATCACGTTAATCTCTACATAAGACACAACAATTACGAGATACTCTACATTTCCACATGTAATCACAGCATGTTGATTTATCTTCTATTATGTCTTTCAAATCAAATCAGTAACTTTTATATATTTATTAAAAAAATAAAGATTTAAATTATTGCGATGGGATCTTCATGAGTTCAGTACTGTTTTCCACACCATACTGTTAGCTGTGGCAAACATTTCATTCATAGGTGTAGTTGAACTCATAAGTTATGATTAATATACGACCTTCTTAAAAAACTATATGAGCCGTTTTATTAAAAATCTCTTTGCTATGTAGGGGTTTGCGACTAGAAATTAGCCAATTGTGAGCTTTATCGATCTGTATCAATTCTAAATGGAAAGTTTCTTAATGATTGTGCATGTTTTTATTCGATAGTATCAGTCAAGGCATACGTAATCCTTCCCAGGTTAGCGTCAAGGATTATCGAGCGAAGAAAAGAGTACGATAACAAAAGGTAGATGTTTGCACATCAATAGAAAACTTTTGACAGTCAATAGGTTATAAAAATAAGAGTCATGTTATATTTCAAAGAAAACAATTTAACCGGTACAGCTAAAGTTCTTCGTTAATATCCTTCTCAGCATAATTTGTCAATCAATCGGCGTAGAGACGTTTTCATTATCTATTCACAAAATACAGTATCTCTAATACAAAACTATGTGCAGAGCTAGTGAGAGAAAACGAAACTTTCGTTCTCTAAAGTATAGATGAAGTACAGTTAAGTACGTACGTCAGATGTACTTCTTTGTAAGGTAGTCTCGGTCTTTACTCCTAAATGCAAAACAATATTGTTCAAAATGTTCACCTAGACCTATATCGCTTTAACAAAATATTTGGCTGGAAAAGTGCCTTTAAACTTTCTGAAATTTAGAAGGCAAATCATTACATAAAGAAGGCTCATCTTATCTGTCGTCTTTTATCATAATTTGTTTATTTCTAATTTCAGGCATTGTAAACAGGCAAAACCTGAATCTGCAAGTGAACGATTTAGTTTGAAAAACATATTTTTATAAGGCCTTTTTCTAGTGCTAAGTTTACCGAACTAATGAATAATTTCTAGAATAAAATTTCATGTACTATCAAATTTAGGAAAAAATGCTGATTTTATATGAAACAGAAGTCTATTGCGTTCTCTGTAAAATTAAGTTGTGTCGAACCATATAATCTCTCTGTCAGATCTAGTAAGAAAAACTTCGTTTGACGCTATAGAAGAAAAGTGATGTTTTTAATAAAAGTTTTGCCTGTATGATTGGAAATTCAGCGCTACATAGACCAGGCTCAAATATTCATTTTTATAAAGCATGAAAAAACGATTGTAAAACAAATCAAATACATCCATCACCAATCTCTCAGTTTTAGTGAAGTTGTTAGGAGCGGTCCGACCAGGAGCGGAATGTGATAGATTTTAGAGTCATCCTCACACCAGTCAAATATTGGAGAGTTTCATTAATTTTATAAGCTAAAAGGCAGGAAGAAAAATAAATAATCAATGAGAACTTACTACTTTTTTTTCAAAAAATAGAACAAAATGATGTTCTTCATTAACAATCTATCAGATCAAATACGATGTTTTGAACGCTACGTGAAAAACAACGACTAGGCCATCACATTTGATTTAAAAACGGTCTTATATTTAGTTCAAGTGACAGCTTATGAAATTATCAAGTTTAAACAGCTTCCTTTTTCAAACAATAGTCAGGAGTATGGTTACCTTCGGCAGGAAATATTTTTATCAAGCATTGTTGCTGCTATATAGTGACAGATTCATTTTTCCGAAAAGCGATACAATACAGTAAAGTTTGCAATTAGCCCACAAGAAAAAGTTCACACCGAGAAATGATGTATTCCATATGAACAAGCAGTTTTCTAAAAATTAAAACTTCATACACGAGAATTTGGATGCATTTGAATTTTTTTAGAAAGCCATATTTTAATCAATAGTCAGTAGTGAACACGTTCCATGTTAAAATTACAACAATGCCACGGAAATGAAATTGTTCTTGTATAATAATTAGCCTGAAAGATTAACAGTAATCACGCTGCGACAATATATAAATGAATTTTCTATTATTGACCAACTTCGCTCTTTCCTATGCATATGCTGTCTCAGAAACGTAAATAGGGATGAGGTAATTGAGCGCTTTCTTATAACTCTATAAATTATTGCTCACAGAGATTCTCGAACTGATAATAATCTTGTGCTATTTTTCAACATACATTACTTCAGGTAGAAAGTTTTCTTTTGCTCTTCCTCACGTTTTCATTAGTCGAACTGATTCTCGAAGTTGTAAGGCACTTCTCTTCTCACTCATATTCTTCAAGTTTGTCAGATTTCAGCAAGTATTTTGGAGCAAATATTTTGTAATAGATTTTTAGCCTATATCTTGCTCTTTCTAAACGGATGAAGATCAAATCTTTTATGATCCACAGGTGCATCGATACGGATAAAAAATTGTATTTGTCTCTATTCTCTTGCACTAGTATCTTAAACCCTGCACAGCCTTGTATTGGATTATAGCAGCTTGTAGCATCAAATACCGGCTTGTGTAACAAGTCGATATGGGTCGATACATGAACTTAAGAATTCTAGTTTTTCAGGGGTATATATGTTGTTAGGGTTATGCACCGATTCCCATACATGTCGTTACATTGGATACATACTGATGTATACCTACAGATCGGATTTTATACGTGATGGGATCGGTACAAGTTGTACCCGTATTTATGATTGATTTATATATATATATTTGACAGAAGTCTTCGTCGGCTGATAACGGTATATTGCCATAATGCTCAAACTACCAATCCGAGTTATGTATTAGAATATCGTACACTACTTGAGCTGACTGATATTACTGCTAGACACTTTCGTATTCTGCTCGGTGCTGAAACGCTGCCAACAATTTTACTACGCTCAATAGATCGTCAACAGCTTAACGGTAATGATCAACAATCTCAAGAACAGTTTTATGACTTGCCGAATCAAGCCTATTCGGTATATACAGGCAAGATTCTTATCGATATGCATGCTGGCTGCGCCAGTATAGAAGCTATGTATACACACCCGACAACCGGTGAACAGAAGAAAATTGTTTATCAACATAATTTACTCCCTACGGAGACAAGTTTGCAAGATTTACTTGAACGTTTGACTGTATACGGAAAATCACGTAATGTTCAACTTCTTCAATTGATTGATCTCAATCTTCTAACTGCTGAAAGTGCTTATGATGAAAAACAAAAATTCGAAACATTAAAAGAACGACTGGATGAATGCGCCGCATATCGGCGTTCAATGACTGTCTACGATTTAGATTCATTAATTGGTATTAATCGAAGTGAAGGAAACGCTTCAACAGGTCGAACAACGAATCTTTCCTTAATCAACCATAATATGTACACTCATGTTAAAGATAAATTTCAACATACCTATGTTCAAACAGTATCAGGTTCTGTCAACGATAAAAATGTTAACAGTGATGAGAAATGGTCTGTTATGGTTATATCTGAACCATTTTTATTGCGTCAATTTTACGATGATGTCAAATTTACACGTTCAGACCACGAAATTGAGTTAGAAAAAAATGAAAATCGACGTGCTACTGAAAGAGTTAAATGTGTCCAATGCACTGATTATTACATTGAAAAAGACAATCATATGGGCATTTGTGTACATCATGATGGATTTATCTATGATAATCATTCTACGAATATGAAGATATATACTCCACGAGAAGCTATTGCGCAATTATTGAAAGAAGATGCTCAGCCAATTCAACAACATACACGCTATGTGCAACCGCCAGAAGACAAGGAAAGAGTTGAACGTATGAAACAACGTTTCAAGTTTATTTGTTGCAATCAAACGTTAGTCACCGGTGGCATGATGGGCGGTTGCAAAAGGGGCACACATAGCGAACCACATGTCACTTTTGTTGAATGGGAAATGGCTTGCAAGAATAATAAAGACTATCGAGAAAAACGAATCAGTTTACTTCAAAGCAGAACTGGCTTTGATTGAACTATGATTATTCATGAATTTTAAAATATAAAACAAGAAAAGCAAATCACATTTTTTACCATCGACCATAGATTTGATACGAATTCTCATCTTGATTCCGAAAGTTTCGCCTCTTTTTAAAGTTTTTATTCCATCGATATTGCATTTGAGACTTTTGAAAAACTTAATTATTGCGTTCATCGTATTAATTTTAACGTTGTAGTCATTTCACGTCAAACTAAATCTTTTCTATGTCAGAATTCATTTAATGAGAGATTGGTTCGTGTTCTGTGCATGAATAGTTTTCATTAGTCTGTAAGATATATATGCGCCTGAAAATCGAGGTGCCCTATTCTTTATTGTAATTGCCAGTACTCATAGACGTTCACTCTTTATAATTTGAGTTTGCTCGAGTAAGCCACAACCGATTTTGCTCAACCAGAGATCCCACATTTTTGATTACACACTAGAATAGGTATCGACTGTTTAGTACTCGAAGAGAAAGTTTAAATTACATCTCACTGATTGCTTGAGAGAAAAGTTATGGGGAAGCAGATTTTTCTACTGTTTTTTGATAAACGCCTTAAAAAAGTTCCACAAAAGATCGTTCGAAAAGTCAGCGGATTTCTGCAGAAAAATCTTTAATAGAGTTAAAAACTTTGGTTGCCTATCTAAAACAAAATATACTTTACACCATAGGATGAATATCATGTAAATGTAAGACTATGTTTGAGCAAACTTCTATGGTCCTCGGTTGTGGATTACATGGACTGGATCATATTAGGACGTTGCAGGTTTTCAAGCCACTTCGACTCACCTTAAAAATGTCCTATGCCTTTTAAATCTTTACTATGCCAGCATCTCACTCAGATAAACCATCCTTGAAAATTTAAGCCTCGTTCAGTGAGATCTGACTAGATTGCGTTCTCTGCCATATTCTTATTCATAGATACAAATTTCAGCTCGACATCGGTCAAAATGCTACAATGGAAGCATACTGTCTACAGCTATTTGTAAGGTACTTATGAGTACATGTTGTTTGAAAATTGCATGACAGGAACACATATGATCGATGTATTGAGTAGTCTTCAGAAGGATATCTTGATTTACAATAAAAAGTTTTTCGAAACGAGGCTCAAGATTTGTGACTGTTTGAAGTATGATTTCTTCTTCAAAGCCTTATGACAGGAAACAGACGGATCAGTCGATGCAGGACGAATGAAAAAGTCACTATGAATAGTACATTTCATGTTGACGGATAACTATGGTGCACTTGCTGAATACCATATGTTTCTGCCTAGTGCATAGTACACAAACAACAGGTGCTATTTAGACGCTTTGTCTCTGATATTTGTTTCAACATGTTGTGCAATTGAGACAGAATTCAGCTTATTAGTACAAAACAAATGTGTGTATTGTACGGTGTGAGTAAGCGTATGGATGTTCTAAGTAACTGTACCCACACCCACACCCCAAATTCCAACTCGGCAACAATGCAAGCGTTGTTGCTCGCAATATCGGTTGCTATAGGCGAAGGTACAGTTGCTGATCGTACATGTCGTGATTGGTTGAAAAGATTTCGAGAAGGCAACATATCATGGAAAGATCATCCGAAGTCTAAAAGTACTAGTAAAAGACAGTCCACGGCTAACAATTCGCAAGTTGTCAGCAATGTTAGGGTGTAATCAATCCAACATCGATCGGCATCTACAGCAAATGGGAAAAGCCAATAAGCTTGGTACATGGGTTCCACACGAATTATCATCGGGCAACATGCAAGAGAGAGTCACCATATATAACTTTTTGCTATTGAAGCACGACCGATGCAGGTTTCTCCAGCATATCATCACTGGGAATGAGAAGTGAGTTCTCTACGATAATCATATACGCAAGCGCCAATGGATCAATCCTGAAGATATACAGGAACCAGAGCTGAAAAACGCTCTGCACCCTAAAAAGATATGGCTGTCAATTTGGTGAGAGTTTCAAGGTGTTATCTATTAACGAGCTTATTCTTCCTAACACCATAGTAGACTCCAAGCTATACGGTACACAACTCGAAAATCTAAAGGTGGCACTTAAAGTCAAGCGTCCAGGACGACGAAAAGTTCAGGCTCTTCATGGTTTCGCTCGCTTTGGAATCATCTGTTCCAAAAACACTTCTGCAATGAAGCATAGATAAAATCAGACCTCAAAAATTTCTTGAAGGTGGCATTCTAGATCTACCTAAGAGATGGGAGTATGTCGTAGATAACGATGGTAAATATGTTGTTAATTGATGTTATTTTGTTTCACTAAAACTGAAATATTAAAAAGAAAATCAATCCCTCATTACTTTTGCATTAACCCAATATTTAAATAAGTAAGTATACCTTCATAATGCGAAGCTTCGATCTGAACTGATTCTATCCAGTTTGTTTTCAGTAACCGAAAATACAAGTACTCCAAAGCTTTTTAAATCAGAAATATGTCTCACGTACAGTCTTTCTGACTTCTGAGCATATAAATCTTTCTTAGCTTTCGAAGTATTGATAGCTTCTTGAAAGTGTATAAACCAATATTTTTTTGCTCTCTTCGAAACCCTATGTGTTTAAAGTTTTTCAGGAACTATAAAGGTATTGCGTTTCTATGTTTCAAAAATTTGAAGATCGACTATCAATCAAACAGACAACAGTTTTTCAGAAACTAACTAATATACTTTTCAACTCACAGAAACTTGAAAGAAACTTGTCATATGTGGTCCTATTTTCAGTAATAAGACATACAGGAGAGCATAAGTATGCCACCCTTGCCGTGACTAAGATGATAATTGAAATGATTAATAACGTCGAAAAGAGAAACAAAAGAAGAAAAAATTGTGCTGATCATAGGCAGTTTCGCATCAGAACATGCTCTCAAATTATCATAGGTCCACGAAAAAATAATTTTATCCCATTTCACTTTTATGCTGAAATATCTTGTTTATCTATCACAATATTTAGTGCGCTAAGTAAATTTAGGTACCTCGGGGTGCTTAGAGCCCTTTTAGTCCTTTTAATCCCTTTAGTCCCTTCAATCCCTTTAGTCCTTTTAGCTCCCTTTAGTCCTTTTAGCTCCCTTTAGTCCTTTTAGTATCAATCAGTATATTTTCTCTTTTGTAGTCGTTAAGATCAAGATGTCGAGCATAAGAATATAGCTAAAGGGATTAAAGGCACTAAAGGGATAACTTGGGGGACTAAAAGTAAAATGGGATAAATTTAATTTCTTGTGGACCCCTCAGTGGTTTCTACTGAAAACTATTTCATTACTACTAAAAGCTAGAATTTATCGCCATATTTATTTAAAATAAATTGCATAGATTGATGCAGTACATACAAACATCTTCTGAAAAAATTTATCGTAGTATGGCCATGGATATTTTTTGTCGATGTTTTCACTGTGTAAGCTGAATTATACGCACAGACCGTTAGGTAGAGGAGATGTTTTTGTTGTAATTTTTTTGCTGCTTTACTTGAACATTGTTGTTTTCTTCTTTCCGTGTTATTTCTTCTTTCTTTGATATTTCTTGCACACGCGACCGTCGTGCTTTCTTAATCTCAGCGATATTTTGGCGCATCTCTTTAACATCATTAACAGCATTTGTCATCCATATTCGCTTAGATGTCCACTGGTCGTGCAGATTCTGAGCGTCTCGGTCCATATTCACTTGTACTGCTTGTGATCCTTTGATATCACGAGTAAGATTATTGTGACGTCGTGTTCGTTCCTTGTAAACTTCTTCTTTGTCATGCATATTCTCCGATACCCATTTTAAATCATTGCGAATTCGTTGAAGGCTTTGATTAGTGTTTGTTACGCTATCTTTGGCAACCTATTACGAATATGAATATTATTCGATGCTTACGATGGATTGAAATAGTTCATTTTCATTAGTTTCACTGAAACAAGGTGGTGAAATATGTTTGACTATCTCGTTTAATTTCGTCATGTTATTAACAGATCTATCTGCAAATAAGATTTAAAACATCGTCTGTGGTCGCAGTGGAATTGTACTCAATGGTCATTTATTATCCTTATCAAATTCAGAAGACACAGTAGAGAGCTGAAAGGAAATTATAGCATGCAAAAAGCTTGAATGCATGAACTCAGTTTACACAGTTTAATTTTTCCTGCTCTAAGTTCTTTAAAGCACGTATTTTCCAACACTAATTAGCACCTAGAATATTATTCGTGAAGATCTACAATATCCTGATAACCAATGATAGTTGAAACCTTGATCGTATAGTGGATAGGGAATCTTTATTGATCTCTGAACGACAATAAGACAGTTGGCAATTAACACTATAATAAGTTGTTTTGTGTATTAAAATCGTCGAACGGCATGAAGCTGCCCGTTATTATCTTACTTTTTTTATTGTAGCTCTCTAGGAAAACGTATTCAACAGCTGTTTGCCAAATTGGAAGTGTAAGAGAGTATCGTTAGTCAACTAATCTAAAACATACCTATCTGAATGTGCCCCGGCAAAAAGAGTCCAATGGGGCACGTGTCGAACCACTTTCACGTAAAAAAGCCTGAACTTACCAAGGTAGAAACACCTGTAGATCATGCGGCTAATCTAAAGTGTCACCCACTTTTCAAATTTGTTTGACTACTAAGCATTACTTTTTCTCTTCAAGATACTATAGCTGTTATTAATCAAATTTATTTTGATAGACTTGGACTTGCACATTTATAAGTTTTGGGTATCAATTATATCAACTAACTTTACCTTTCTAGTTTAACTTCGAGCCCTAATTGGAACTCTGTGAGAGAGATTAATATATTGTTTGGCATCAGGTTTTGCTTTTATTAGTTGTTGAAACGTATGTTTCGTACTATTTAGTGCATTATCATTGTCATAGAAACTCTTTAACAATGCGTTAAAAAGAAGAGAATGGAACCGAACTGAAATATTATTTAATAACATTAGCCATTCAATGATCTTTAAATGGTGTTTCATGCTGCAAAAGAATCTATCACGTGGGAGTGTGAAGTATGCCTTTGACCCGTCAGTGCGATTAGAAACGATATAATATTCATACATCAAATAAGATTTGCTTCCGCAACTCATGGATTTATAAAGAAAGTGAAGAGAGTTAAATTTAAATGAGTTTCAGTGAGTCGAAATATCTCGTGCGACAGAATAAATGGATCTCTCAATTTTTATCCGATTCAGCTGTTTGCTTTTAAACTCACTGTTCCAAGCTGTACAAATCGGTTCACTTTATACCTACATTCATAGTACATATAAGTTTTCAGATAATAAAAAGTAAAGACCTTCAAAACATCGTACTTTCAAAGTACCACACTTTAAAAAAAGGTACTTTCTGGAACCTCAAAAAAAGGTTCGATAAATGACAAAACGCTTGCAAATGTGTTCAAAGTTTCAAAAAACGAATAAAAAAACCCGGAACCTTTAAAGGATCTTACCGTGTACCCAAGTGAAGATCCTTTTTTCTTCGAAACCTTTTTAAGTTCCGTACACAAAAAAAAGGTTTTGTAGGAAAATACGAAACCTTTAAAGTTTCGCATCTAGTATAATAGTTTTATAGGAAACCCAGTACGAAACCTCGAGGTTCAATACAAAACCATAAAGGTTTCAGACTTTCCTACAAAACCTTTTTTTTGGTGTACGGAACTTGAAAAGGTTTCGAAAAAAAAGGATCTTCACTTGGGTACACGGTAAGATCCATTAAAGGTTCCATTTTTTTATTCGGTTTTTGAAACTTTCAACACATTTGCCAACTTTTTGTCACCTACCAAACCTATTTTTGTGGTTTCAGAAAGCCTTTTTTTTACAGTACAGCATGATGATACTATTAAGTTCATCTGGCTGTTCACATTTGGTCAGAACAAAGGGCAATGTTCCAAAAGTAAAACATCGTTTATGCCGGAAAAAGAGTATCAGCTCGAAAAATCGCGATTGACCTTGATATCTTTGAAAGAAGTGTCCAACGAATATTAAAAATCAATCTAGGGCTACGTCCCTATAAAAAGTGATCGAAGCATCGCTTTCCCAACATCAGAAAGTCAAACGGAAAATATTCGCAAACTGGGTCCGAACAAATTTTCGAAACGAGGAAACGATGAAAATTCTTCTTTTTATATGAAAAGTTCTTTTACATCGATGATATCTAGAATGCTCAAAACGATTGAGTGTGGGTAGTCAATCTTTTTGGTACCGATCGAGAAAAGGTGGCATTAAGCAGAAACGACAGTTTCTACAGAAAGTAATGTTTTGGTTGGATGCTTGTTCAAAGGGAATCAAGTTTTTGCTAACCCAGGAGATTCAATCCGACCAGTAGAGCCGATCGTTTCCGGCATCGGATCCTATGGATTCCGTTCGATTCTGACGTACCCTGATTCTCCTGAGAACGATTGGATCTTTCAGCAGGACTGCACAAGGTCTCACGCACATCGTTTGACACAACAATGGTGTCGGGACGATTTTCCATTATTTGTTGACAGGATCATTGACCTTCAAATAGCCCCGATTTGAATCATATGAACCATTCAATTTGAGATGAACTTGCCAACGCTATCAATTAGGACACAGACAAGTCAAAACCAGCACTGGTTCAACAATTAAAATCCTCGGCTGAAAAAATCGCAAAACAGTTGTCCTTAAAAGTTTGCTAGTTGGGCCAATGGACTGTATCACGTTTCCCAAAATTATGGAAATTATTTAAATTAACAAGAAAGAACTTTTTTTGTAAAGCTTAAGACAGCGCGTCTTTTAAAAGAACAATTGGATGAAAATTGTAAAAGATATCGTCAAAAAACTGAGAGATCCATTTATTCTACTGCACCGGTTAATTGTCAATAATGCGATCAGACAGATTGTTAATTCTTTCTAACAAAATCTGGTTCACTATACTATTAAAATAACATCGAAAGCTCTGACAAGTGACTTTAGATCGCTGAAAATTTCAAACTTCAAGTGATTACGAACTGCTTCGAACTAAAGCATTTGACAACAGGTCATGATTGTATAAAAGGTTCAGACATTAATGGTTGCTAATCAACTTACGCTAGACACCGTACAACTCGTTAGTGCTTAATTGTGCAGATTACTTGAGTAATTACTAACTTCTTTTAAGCTCTTCAGTTTAAACAAGGGAACTGTGTGCCATGTTCAGTTCGATATTATTACTGGCAATGCTGAACCACCAAATTTCAAATACGAGTTGCGGATAGTGAAGATATAGCAAATTTTTCAAAATTTCAGAATATTGGTAATTTTAGATCTAAAAGAATGCTGGAAAGTTCCTGATTCATTTATCTTTCTTGCACTTATACTTATTTTTTCATCCAGCAAATTTTTAGGATTTTGATGCCATTTATCTATTTATTAGACAAGTGTTACATGAGTTTCCCATTTTGTCGAAGTTTAGCAATATATAGATAGAAAAAGATAGGCTTCTTATAATGAAATTGCTCAGATATAAGATGTCTTAATAAAATGCATTGATGCTTCCGTCTCTGATATACCTACACTGTCTCTAAGATTAGTTCAAACTAATTTGCATGGCACGTGACTGTCGATATATAGATTATGTTCTATTTACCCACTCCTACAGTGTCAAGTATTGAAAGTTCATTTGTCAGGGTGAATAAAATTTTGTATATTCTGAGTTACGTACCAGAAAATTTTTGGAAAATAGTGATACTCGTACAACGCTGGCATGGTAGATCAGTCAACGCAATTACGGTACCTTATCTGTCATGTGGGCTAAGAAGCTGGGGCTCTGTCAAACATCAGGTTGATTCTGCCAAAATTTATGATTACTGTACGTTGTACTATGTATATGTGCTGCGAAAATAATATTGCATCTCCTGAAATTTTACATCGTTTCTCTAGAAAAGAAAATTTGTGAAAACCACTTTGTTATCAAAATCCTGGAAGTTTATTGATTGAAAAAACATATTAGTAAAGAAAGGCTAAATTTAGAATATTCTGTTATTCTTATGAGCTAAAATCTTCAATAAATCAAAATTTGAATAATTTTGGTCGTGACTAGCTGTCAATATCTCATATATTAAATTAAATAGTTTGCATTGAGAGTAATGATTTAGCTAGACGTCGGTTTATCTTATTCTTTAACTTGACGAACAGTTCCAATGTAAACAGCTTAAAATCGATATAAATGTAATGCTTTTAGTTATTTGAAGCCACTTTACAGATCTTTCAATAAAACTTTAAGCATTAGTGAATACTTTAAGTGCCACTAATTGCCTGAAAATACTGGCTTTAAAATTCTTCAAGAACTTAAAATTCAGATTTTAAACCTTTAAAAGCGAACTTGTGTCAGCTTAAGTTGCTAACCAAAGTCATACGGGGCGCGGTGAGAGAAGCATTTCGAAAAAATTTTCCGAATTCTATATGACGAAAGATTCGCACATATTTTATTGTCATGGTTACCTGTTGAGCGTTTTCTTGTGTATCTTTGTCTTTTTTTGCCTGTTCTAAATCTGCATGGTTTTTGTCCAGAACTTGTTGATAATCAGCAATTTGCTCTTGAATGCGTTTAGCATGAGCAATATGCTCGATGCGGTGGATTTCTATTTGAGATTGCTTTTGTTTCTTGCTTTCCAAGTTAGTTGAAATATTGTACACTTCATTATTTTTCTCCATCATCGCTTCGTTTTGAATTTTCAATTGTTTATTTAAATCTTGTACTCGATTTTCTAACTGTTCCTTCTTTTGTCTTGTGTTTTCAAGTTCTTCCTTCAAAATCTCTTTTTTCCTAGCGAGTGTGTTGCTTTTTTCTTCTTCTTTGATAAGCATTTTTTTTTGGGCTTCAATTTGTTCATTTGATTTTGTTGCAGACTTCGCCGCCGTCTCCAGGTCTTGTTTGATTAACCCAACCTCATTTTTTGCTTCCTGTGCCTTTCTTTCTGCGAGAAGATGATCAGCTCGTGCTTTTTCGACTTCAGCTTTCTTTTTATCGACCAAGTCTTTCATCTCTTGTATTTCTCCGCGTTTAGCTTCATTTTTATCCTTTAAGTCCTTGAGATTTCTAGTAGCCTTATCATCTCTTATTGTAGCTTGTATAAACACAGTATTGGCTTGATTAAATGCATCTTGAGTTTGTTCCTGTCTTAACTGCAATGCACCTCGTTCCATTTTCAATTGCGCAACCTGAACCGTTTTCTCTTTTACTTGCATTTCGACATTATGTACTTTGGTTCTTTGTTTTGTTTGTTGCTCTTTACTATCGGCTAATTGACGTTCAACATTTTTAAAGTGATTAGTTGCTGCTGTTACTACTTCAGTTTGCGTTTCAACTGCCTTCTTAGCCGCATTCTTCGCTTCTATCTGCTTATCCCAATTCGTTTTTGCGGTGGCCAATTTATTTTTCTCTTCAGTGAGGGTCTCGTCAGCTTTTTGTTTCTCAGTTTTCGATGTTTCATGTAATTCAAGAGCGCGATCACGCATAGAATTCGCTTGCGACAACGTGTTTTCTGCTCTATTTAACTTGGAAGCCAATGCAAAAATGGCAACTTCAAGAGCTGCAATTGTAGCTAGTATTGGAATAGCAGCAATTTCACCAGCTATCGGTATCAGTAATGCAGTCGCAAGAGCTGCTAAAGCCCATGCCAATGATATCTCAGCATCATTCAACTCGGATTTTATACTTGCGACAATGGCTTCTGCTTGTTTTTGCTCACGTATAGCTTTATCTGCAGCGTGCTTAGCTTCTCTTTCTCTTCTATCAGCTTCGTTGGCCCTATCTTGTGCTAAGTTCGTTGCTGTTACTTGAGCTTCATATGCTCGTTGCATTTGTAATTCCAACTGTTGTTGTTGATGAAGATGTTCTGTTAATTGTCTTAAACGTTCTAAAGCGGTATCAAGTTTGATTTTCGCTTGACGAAGTTCTTCTTCGAGTCTAGCGACCACTGCATCTATTTCTTGAAGATGTTTTATCTCTGCCTGCAGCAGGTCTTCCAAATTTTTTTGTTCCATTTGAGCTCGAGTAAGTTCTGCTTCTTTATCGCTCAATTCTTTGCCAATTTCCTTGAGCTGATCACGCAAACGTTCCAACGCTCTTTGCGCTCGTTCAAGTTCTTGCCTAAATAATCAATAAAAAAAGGTTATGGTTTTTTTTATGAAAGATGAAAGTCCTCAGTCATGCAGTCATTTTTCAATGATTTCAATGAGCTGGCAAGATTTTCAGGTATAAGAAGACTTTCTCCCTAATTTCTTATCATCATTAGCTATCCTTAGCCTGGGACATATCTATAGAATGTTTTAGTAACTGCGACGAGCCAAGTTAGAGATTTTTAGAGCTTCTTGGAATTTAACGCTTCCTTAATTCGGAATTGAAGCTTGGCTTAACACATGTAATATAAAGCATTCTTCAGCTTTGCATTTTCTATTCTCTCAAATTGCCCCATATTTCTTCAAAGAATAAAAAGACTTCTAAATTTCAGTCTCCGTTGCTAAACTTTTTGATTTCATATTGTGGAGCTCATTGGCTTGATCACGATTAACACAATGTCTTATATTTCATGAACTTTCATCGAAGCAATAATTAGTCATAATCCAACGAAGAAAGTCTATGGAGAAAAGCAGATGATATCATTGTGATTTATTCATTGAACTCTACAAACTGATATCACGATAGGTGCAAGCAGAGATTAATCCAAGGAGAAGTCTCCTCGCCAGTAAAATAAAATTCTATTTGATTCTGATTGATGTATTCCGTCTAGATATCTGCCTTTCAAACCAAGAAATGATTTTTATTGTGGATTTGTGCTATACAAATAAGTTTTTACTTCATAATGAAATCAAAATAGGCGAACTTACATATGACCGCCTGTATTCATTGATTAAAAATAGTAATTTGTTCATAAAGATAAAATGATTGAAGTCATCTATGAGACAGGGAAGAGTTCATGTGAAAGTATATAACTTTTATTCTTCTACTACAAAAGGATAACGACAAATGGTATCTTGAAAAGCTATACTCTAATTACTTCTACTACCTTCCTATTGTCAATCTCAACAAGTGTTTTGAGCCTACCATTTCATTATTTTTAACATTAATGATCACAATCTGGTTATTTTAAATGATTTCCATCTTATCTGCAGCTGAGTTGTATTCTCGGTTATTGTGAAAATGAATACTGTTAAATCACAACGAACCGTTCAAAGATATATAGTATTTTTACACTATATCATATCATAAAAAATGAAATCTTAGACATTTATATAAACTAACGATTTTATTCACAAATGGAGCGTCTTTATAAACGGAGTATGCAGTCTTATTTATTCGAAACAAAGAGTCAAACATGATTCCAGGAGAATCATGATAGCAGAAAACGTTGTTTCTAGTTTTCTAAACAAAAGTTTGTTTTCTACTTTCTCAAAGATGGGTTGTTATCTAACGGGAAAATCTGGCTATTTTAAGCCGGGTAACCTGAAGAGAGCCTTGTTATCAATACACGAAACTGATTCAAGAAAATAAACCTTATTATCTAACTATTGAAATCATATATATGTGATACTTGAAAGTTGAAAGTTGAAAGCTCAGTTGAGTTCAAGTTTCAAGTATGACACTACTGTTTCTTGTTAGCGCTTCACTCAGTTTGTTTCGTTATTCTTCGAATAAATGCTTTTGATTATTCAATATGGTGATTCGTTGTTCTATAGCAATTATGCTTGCATTTGTGTCATCCAATATTTGCTCTTGTTTAATGAGTGTAGATTGGAAATTGTCTCGTTCTATAGTGCGAGCATGTTGCTGTTCTCGTAAGTTTTGAAGTTCTCCGTGAACATTTTTTGTTTCGGATGTAGGACTTTAAGATCATCAGCATGTGTCTTCTGTATTACTTCAGATTTGTCCAGTTTTTCTTGGATTCGATCGAGGTGTTTAACGGCTTTTTCAATTTCTTTGTTTGTATCATTTATATCCCATTCATATTCTTCTACTCGTTGCTTATCATTGCCACCAATGGTCTGTATTTAACGTTCCGATTCATCATATTCTTCAAGTTCTTTACGAGCTTCCTGCTCCTGTTCTTCGCTTAATCGAGCCAATTCGAGCTCACGTAAACGACGCATATTTTCTTCTTGTAATCGACGTCGCTCATCTTCGAGATTAAAATTGGTCGCCATTGAATTTCGTGCTACAATGTTTTGATGCCGTTTATCTTGACTGATCAAATAGGAAAATTTTCACAATAAAGTATGCTACATATGAAATACTGATATGAAAAGAGTTGACAAAAAATATATACATGAAACTCTATCTAGTGAGCTCTAGCATGTTTTGAAAAGGTCCACTTTCAAACACACATTTTCACCATATTAATTTTCTTTTCTCATCTGGCTAATTAGACGTTGAATCAATGTGGGGCACATTTCTCGCTATTTTCAAGTATGCTCTTTCTCACAGCACTTAAAACGAGTCGCTTAGATATGATTATAAGGTTTCAGGGTCATTTTACCTTGAAGAACGAGCTGGAGTAATTAAAAATTTTGTTCGCGTGCACAATCTTGTACCGAAACGAACTGCAAATTGACAAACTAGTTTATAGATGTTAGAAAAAGCATTTTTCTTCGAGCTGAGAAAAATTTGACTGTGAAAAGTTACATTTTGATCTGGCCACATGAAGATTATGAAGAAGTCTAATGGCAGGTCCGAAAAACCCAAATGTGAGAGAAAAACAAAGGCGTTATGTTAATCCAAGTTCCAAAGTCAGCATTTTTCAAAGACCGCCAAGTTAATATGGCTTTTCAAGAGCTACAAAATGGCGTCGTCAATATTTCTATACTTGGTCATATAACGACGCGAAATGCAAAGAACGATACGAAATACTATGAAAGTGAGGATATTCGGAGCATATGAGTGTTTATCAAATGGACTTTCACAGTTACATTTTGTACCAACTCTTTTCGTATCTTTTTGTAGAGAATTGAATGAGGAATCTTTCTAAAGAAACACGAAGTCTAAGGGATAAAAGCTTCATGAGATATTTACGAAATACGGAGACCATCATTATTTATGGCCCACCCGTTAGATGATGAAAACAAGAAGTACAAACTCCGACTGTTGATGGGACACTTGCTAGCTTTGAAAGTTGGGTACTTTTTATGTGTTGGATAATCTTCGTTTAAGTTTTTCCCTTAATTTTCTTCAGGAACATGTTTGATTACTGTTTTGTAGAGAATTTCACGGTGCATCTTTTGGAAAAACAATCAGCTCTATAGGGCACAAAGAAAAAAAGTTATAGCCAAAAACTTGAGAGGGACATTTATCCTGGCGCACCCGTTATTTCTATTTTCCCAAAGATGAATGGTTATCTAAAGGGAAAACCTGACTATTCTAAGTCGGGTAACCGGAAGAGAGTCTTGTTATCAATAGATGAAACTCATTCAAGAAAATAAACCTTATTATCTAACTATCGAAATCATGCTCAGCAGTACGATGAATCTCTAGTCTTAGTTGCATTTTTTCGTCTTTGTAAGTATCTTTTTACTATTAGAAAAAGACCAAACGAAGAAATTTAAAAAAAACAGATTCCAGAGAGAGAGCCTGTTTCACTTTGTGCAGTTCAGTTTAGTGCATATGTTGTCCGCACATATTTCGTATGAAAGCTAATAGCTGAGACCCTTCATGCATACAGAAGGTGATTTGTTTTCTCCTAGGATACAATAAACACTCTTCAAACTTATAAAACATCTTCATCATAGAAAACCTTTCATGTCATATAGACTGTAAAAGACACATTTACATGGTTTCGCAATTATCATAATATCATCATCGAATTCGAAGTGTTAAAGTTCCTCAGCTCTCCGCAATTTATTATCAAACACAAATAGCCTTACTGAAATTCTCTTTTCTCTTCTTTCTTTTCTCCTGAAACGTGGTAGTGTAAAAGCACACAGCATTCCTTAAAACATCTGTATTGTAGTATTTCGATGAAAACAATAAAAAACAAAATAAAGTGAAAAAAAACGTAACTAATTAATTCATATTTTATTCAATAGTTTGCTTTATATACTAGGATATATGTGTAATCATAGCTTGCAGATGCCTAAAAACCTAAATAATTTTCAACTTTCAAGGTTGAAGAAATATCATTGTAGAACTTATATGTTTTATAGAGAGAATTTTCTGTTGAAGAAAGTTCACTTCTTGAGCACAATGTTCTATAAGACTTTGAAATGAAAAGTAGGAGAGATGTTGTTGAAATTTCTATTTACATACTTCGCTTCTTGAATTTCGTTCTCTGCTTGACGACATTGTTCTTCCAGATGACTTTTATCTTGAGTTAATTGTGCTAATTGATCTCGCAATGTGTTCATTTGTATTTCCAATGCTTCAAGAGCCTTTTCTGCTTGTTCAACTGCATCATTCGCTATTTTTTCATTCTGTTCAGCCTTTTGCTTATCTCGATTCTTCTGTTCAATATGTGCTGTCAAATCACGTTTCACTTCTTCATTCTAAACAGAAGTTGAAGATGTTTAGTAGATAGTTTTTCTAATTATTTCAGTTAAGGTAATGCTAAAAATCAGTTCTAGATTAACATGAAATTATACAATAGACTAAATTGATATCATTGTTTTATGCTTCGACGAGGACACAACCTTTCACTGTTATTTTTATCAAACTAAAGATTATCGATCAAATATTCCCATAATCAAGCAAATATGAATTATTTATGCAATTAATTCGATATTATTTTTGAATATAAGGACGACATTTGTTGATCTTTTGCTTTTTTAATAGACAAAATATTTGAAAACATATTCTGTCTTTTGCCTTTTCCTATGCGAAAATTCACAGACTCGTAGGAATAAATGTTGTAAAAACTTGATCGAATTTCTACTCCGATTGTTCATTTGTTTTAATCTTTCGTGGCAATGCATGCAACACATAATGCATCAACTCTACTATTAAATACAAGTATCAGTCCCATCAAGGATAGTAATCTTCGAGAGTTTTCTTTATGTATCGATCGTGTTATGCACATACCTGATTGATCATTTCTAGGATACGCTCCATCGAATTTTGTAAATGTTGAATTTCAATACTGATTTGTTGCTGTTCTTTTTCCAATTGATGCATGAGATTTTCCTGCTTTTGCACACTGGCTACACATGCAGCTAATTCCTCTTGATTTTTTTTCCATTGTTGAACAATTAAATCGACAGCACCTTTCAATTCATCTGATTGGACCTGTAATTTTGTTGCATCTTTTTGCAACTCTTTGAGTTCATCATTAAGCTTATTTATTTGTTCTTCAACAGATATCAAACTTGTTTCATTTCTTGTTAGCTCATCATTCAGTTTGTTTCGTTGTTCTTCGAATAAACGCTTTTGATTATTCAATATGGTGATTCGTTGTTCTATAGCAATTATGCTTGCATTTGTGTCATCCAATATTTGCTTTTGTTTAATGAGTGTAGATTGGAAATTGTCTTGTTCTATAGTGAGAGCATGTTGCTGTTTTCGTAAGTTTTGAAGTTCTCCGTGAACATTTTCTATTTCGGATGTAAGACTTGCAAGAGAATCAGTTAAGACTTTAAGATCATCAGCATGTGTCTTCTGTATTACTTCAGATTTGTCCAGTTTTTCTTGGATTCGATCGAGGTCTTTATCGGCTTTTTCAATTTCTTTGTTTGTATCATTTATATCCCATTCATATTCCTCTACTCGTTGCTTATCATTGCCATCAAGAGTCTGTATTTTACGTTCCGATTCATCATATTCTTCAAGTTCTTTACGAGCTTCCTGCTCGTCTTCTTCGCTTAATCGAGCCAATTCGAGCTCACGTAAACGACGCATATTTTCTTCTTGTAATCGACGTTGCTCATCTTCGAGATTAAAATTGGTCGCCATTGAATTTCGTGCTACAATGTTTTGATGCCGTTTATCTTGACTGATCAAATAGGAAAATTTTCACAATAAAGTATGCTACATATGAAATACGTGCGTGTCGCGTGACATTGGAGAAAGAGAAAAAACCCATCAATATGAGTAAGAAACGAAAAATATTGCACAACGTGCCATTTTAAGGCAAAAGATAACAGCTACGAGGGTACACAAACAGAAAAGAAAAAAAAACTTGCAAAAAGCCCTCCATCGTACAGCAAAAAAAGTAATATGTCGTAAATCAATTCTGATTATAAAGACCTGTGCAGTGCTTGATTATTGATGAAACTTCTATTTTGAATCTATCGTTTCAGAGAGTTTGTCATTCAAGAAATAGACGGCAATGTTAGTGCCCAAAACGTAAGTAGTCAGATAACCAAAGTATAGTGCATCTCATCAGATTACTGTGTTACCATAGAAAAACGAAATTGGCAACCTTTGTTCATGCTAAATCCCGATTCTTTTTGTTATTTTTGCTTTCGATTAAGTATTTTTGATTATGGATGGCATGAAGATATTCTCCAAGTTAGCAAAAAAATTAACAGTTTTCAAAATCGAGTTATCTTCAAGTAGACTATAACAGAAAAAAGCCTAGTATTTTAAGATTCTGATTGGCAGAAATCGTTGTTTTTTTATAGTAAATACACATGATTTTTGGGATCATCAGAGAAGTATATACCGAAAACCTTCATAACTAACATCGTGAAATACTATGGGTGTGGGTGCGGCTATGGGGGTGAGTGTGGTAACTTCACAGATATATCCACACTCACACCCACCCATACAAATATCCAAATAGAGAGTAGATTTCAAGGTGAGATTATAATTAAAAAAGAAAGTTAGTGAAAACAATCATTAGAAAAACTTTGAAAAGGAAAAAATTGGTTGTTCTACAACTTCTAGAAAGCTTCCTCGAAACTTGAATGTTTGGTATATATCTGCAAAAGTTCTAAATGGTGATACTTTCCTCTTTTAATAAAATGTTGCATCCTATTACACGGTTCTAATATCAGCAAATAATTAATATCAGTACTTTTAACATGATCATTATAAAGTATAGTGCGTTGAGACTTGCAGTAGATATTGATACGAATTGCAACAGCCAACGGCATATACAACTGAATAATAACAAAGTAAACAAAAGATAGAATACTAGTCAAAGCACAGTACTTATCTGTTTTCACTGATAACTATTAACTTAAATTAATGAAAATCTATCAAGTATTATCGTACAATCAGACATGAACAATGTTGCACGTATGAAACATAGTCCATTGAAACAAATTTTAAATTTAAAGGACGCTACTACTTTTAGCTTGCTTTTAAACCACTTAAAAATTGTAATCTTATAAAAACAAATACGATGATTTCATTAGAACAATTTCCTTTCGATTATTATCAATAATCAAGCATCTACAGTACAAACTTGAAATCTGTTTCAACTTTTCGTTTCAAATAAAATATGAAAGATTACCGACCACACATTATGTTTTGCTTTATAGCAGTTGTATGTTTTTGAAAAATTTCTTCTTAATAAACGATACCACTTTTATTAAACACGTACACAAGTAAAAAGAAAGTTTTTAAAACACCAACAAAAATACAACAGGAGGCTACAGGTTAGAAAACAAAGCAAAAACCAATACCAGATAGAGAATGTTTGAAATAGGAAAACATGATGATTTATGGCGAGGGGAAGGAGAGAAAAAAAGTTAAACGAAAAAACAAACTCGGGTAAAGAATGACTTACGAGCGAAACAAATAACAGAAAAAGTCGCCGTTATCATACATTATTTTGTTTTGTAAACACATACATTCATATACATATGATTATGAGTTAACCCTTTCCGGCTTGCTGTTTGAAAATTGCCGTACCCCCCTAGGGGGAAACGTTGCCATTTGGCAACACCCAGCCGGAAAGAGTTAAGCCACTGTTCTTTTCAAAATATAGATTAAAGAAAATAATAATAATAATAATAATAATAATATAGGAATGTGTTCTGTCTGTGTGTATACGTGATAAAGAAATTATTGCATGTATCGAACGGAAATATAAAACGAGTATCCACACAACAATAAAGAACAACACTATTAATAATATAACACGCTGGCCTCGAATTGCGAGTTTTTGAAAAAGTAGGAATTTGCATAGGGTCAAAGTTTTTAAAAATACAGACAAAGGCATAAAGAATGAGAAAAAAATAGGATAATGAAGATTCATTGTTTAGATTCGAATTGAACGTTGTTTTAAACTTTTCCTGTATCAAATTAACATGCGCAGTCAATTTTTGTCAAGATTTCATTTTACTTCTTTCTTAAATTAAATGAAATCAGTCCGACATGATTAAATTCAGTCGAAATATATTTATTTACATATTAATACATTAATACAAAATAGATCATGGAGTGGGTAACGGTTCGTATTGCGTTTACGCTCACATCTACCTACACCGAAACCGAGTTTTAAAGTTTTCAAAAATAGCATTTTGAGTCTTTTTACTGAGAAATGTTTTCAAAAAATATCAATGACAGATCATTAAATGCAGAATTTCAGTCTCTACAAGATGGCCTATTTCGTTTCGACTTTCGTAGCTAAGGACAATGTGGAGTCTTATACACTTTCTAATTCACTGTGCCGCTTATGAGCTTCCATACAGATGTATCGATTTCGTTTTATGTAGAAAGATTAGTTATAAAGAAAAGACTATTACTAATCAAAATCAAATAACTATGATGATGCTAATTGCTTCAAAATTGGTGGAGAAAAAACTGTATCTTAGCGTTACTAGAAATGTCACGTTTGTTTTTTTTTCACTTTTTATCTAAGTAAAAATGCTTAGAGAAAACGTTTTTAGCGTTTTAAAGTTCGGCCAAAGCGCTTGAAAACTAGCTCTAGAAGTGTTTCATTTGGAGAAATAGTTGCAGAAGAAATTACAGTTTACTAGTGATCCTGAAGGAAAAGGGTCTTTTTTATGTCACAGCATCAGGCAACCCAAACTCTTCTATATAAACTCGAGAATTTATCCGAAAAACTCATTTTATGGCATAAACATACCACGACAAGTTGTGTCAAATGATGTTTGAACGAACTTGATAACTCTCACAGTTTCCGAGACAACGAAAAACAAAGTGTGTCAACAACATCACAGCATTACGCTCGAACAAGACCATTCACGAAAATCCATGTGACCGGCACCAATAAAAGCTTTTAAAAACACAAGCATTTATAAAGACTATTTTACTTTGTTTGAATATCTTTAATTAAAATAGCCAGCTATTTTCATTTAGTCCGTTTGATAGTGTGAAAAATAATTGTATTTTAAAGAGTCCCTGCGAAAAATTCAAAGAATATAAAAGAATCAATAATTATCGAATCGATTTTTTTAAAAAGCACGAAAATATACTAAAACAAAAGCGTTTTTTAGCAATTTTCTACTTTTTTTTCATTTTTTATAGGAAATACAGGAAAAATCATCGAGATATAGGACGAATCCGAGGCCAGACCACGAAGAGAAAAAATATGAATAGGGCCACGAGGAAAAACATTATAGAGAAGGATATATATATATATATATGTATAGCAATAAGCTGTTTATTTTTATTTTGAATTTGGACATGTACACATTGTGATTTTCTAAGAATATTGCACTCATACAAAAGGACAGAATAAAATTATGGGAACTTTTTTTCGTAGATAAAAGATATTGATAAATCTAAGATAATGCAACAACGAGAGAAAAAACGGAACAAAATATGTATATATTGACTATTTGTAGTCAAGATTATTTTATCGTTTAATTTACGATTTCTTCGATCCAAATGACTGTCATTCAGCTTTTTGTTTTTGTTTTAACATAACTTTATGTGGTAGACTAGCAAATTCTTCAGCACGTTCACTCATTTGTTTTGATGCTATTTCAACTTCGCCTAATTTTTGACCTCGTTCAATTAATTTCTAAATCGACGAACAGTACATAACAATATTGAAATATGCATTCTTTTTTCTCAATAGAACTCACATTTCTTGTATCATTAACAACACCACAGGCTGACTCAACTGTATCACGCATTCGATTCATATTAGCATTGACATCATCTTTTTTAGCAACACCATAGGGTGCTTTTCCAGCAGCTACACCGACTTTAATAAAAGAAAACATTGTTTTAGATAGAAAAACTTCGATAAAGTAGACATTCATAATTGATCTGAATCTAAGGATGTATTTGAAGCAAAAAGTTTAGCAAAGAAATTTTGTTTTTATGCTTCAGGCATTGCTACTGATGGATCATACAATTCACATAGCATTTCATTGACTTGTTCTCTAGAAGAAGAAAAAATAATTACAAATAAATTCATGATAATATTTTATTCGAACTTACTTAATATCTGAAGCAATACTAAGTTTTTGAATTTCTGTTGGTGAACACATAAAGAGTCCATGGCCACGATCAGTAAAGAGAAGTCCATCAAAAGTAACGATCTTGCAACTGCATTCTCGATCATAAGACGGCTTAAAGGAGGAAGTAAAAGAGTGGAAAACATGCCAATTGTAGACAAAATGGCAAATTACTCGTAAACTCAACCGATCGATTAGGACGTTGGCGCGAGTATTTTTGTGAATTGTTGAATGTTCATTCAACTGTTGATCCATATGTAATAAATGAGGTTCAAATAACAATACCATCAAAATTGGAGTTGGAACGACAGAACGCGCAACCTTCTTTTGAAGAGGTGAAAAGAGCGTTAAATTAAATGAAATCAAGAAAAGCTCCAGGAAGTGATGAAGTGAAAGCTGATATTCTAAAAGCTGGTGGTGAGCCAGTGATAAAATGGCTGCACGAAATGTTCACCGATATGTGGGAGAATGAACAGGTGGTGAAGGAATGGAGTTCAGCCACTCTAATCAGGCTATATAAGAACAAAGGAGACAAAAAACTATGTGACAATTACAGAGGTATCTCGTTACTGAGTGTAACTGGCAAAATATTCTCACGTATCATTCTCAACCGTATTCAAAATTCGGTTGATGAACGACTATTAGAAATACAATCTGGTTTTCGATCGAACAAAGATTTAAAAAATTGATCAACAATTTTTATAAAAGTATGAGAAATATATACGTTATCGATTTCTAGAAAAATAAGAAATATGTTAGAAATTTTTTCAAAAAAATGCAACAAAACGTTTTAAAATCTTTTTAAAATTCTTTTTGAGTAAATATATTTCAAAAACAAATTTTTCATAATTTATTTAATTATTTAAAAAAATGATTTTTATTTCCAAAGAAATAATTTTTTAAATACAAAATATTTGTATTTTTTTCATGAAAATTAAAAATGTAATAACAATTGTTCCGCTTAACTTTATATCATCTTCAGTTTCCTATAAAACTTCGTTTGATTTAAGTAGCATTTCTTATTTCATATTGTTCTCATACGACTGACCGAATGGATAACATCTTGGACTATCAGCCAATTCATCTCATGATCGAACCTAGGACAACGCAGTAAGTTCCAAAGCCTTAATTTTAATCTGGTAGATATAAGTAATAAACCCTTTGGAAGGGTTTATGAAACTTTTGACATACGGTAAAAAGGGTTTAGTCTACGTTGCACTTTCATAAACCCTTAAAGAGTTTATTATTCTACCTTTTTTTTGTACAGTGTGGTGTACTTGCCGAAATGTGGTCTGAAACAGTAATCGATGTCCATCCGGTTGTTGCTTCTTTTATTAATCAGAAGGTCGGCGTTGTCGAGTCGAACCGTGTCAAGGTTGACGAGCTTTGGTGCTCTCGTCACGTTATGCAAACTCAATACACAATTCAAATCGTTCGCTGCAATTCTACAGCATGCTGTGGACCTTGGTGTTCAAACTACGTTCATATCTTTCCAATTCGATTCTTACCACCACCCATGCCCTTCGAAAAATCATCTGCAGGATTATCTATTGCTAGTAATGATCGTCAGGCAAATGCATTCTGCGGTACACTCTGTCAACGCATTTAAATGAATTCAATCGTCAAATGACAACTCCAATCTAATCTACTCTCGCTGCCATTTGATGCTTTCTGCAGCAGTATACGTAATTCCTTGCCAAAACAAACCTGCAAGGTTTGCCATCAGTATTTTTCTACTGCGATTCGAACAAAAACTCATTCTAAGATTCATAAGAACAATACGATCCCTATCGAGTTGTTGAATATAAGCAATGATGAAGATGATCAAGAATCCACCGAGATTTATGTTGCTCAACCAACACACCAGACAAATATCATTGTCATTGACAATCTAGTTGAATGGATCAAATCAGACTTCGAAGAGATATCAATGTGTTGATCATAATCGTGTGGATGTTTTGAATATCAGCTTGTATTATAGTCATGATCGAACTTGTCATTTATAGTAAATAAAATCATATTTTCCGAAAAAAAATCGTTATTTGTACGGTTACTGAAAAGGGGGAAGGGAGAAATGAATGATCATTGGAAACCATATGACACTGGTGAAATATTTATTGATGGTGGCGTGTTTGTCAATGATCCAGAATTGGCGGCATTATGGGCAATACGAATGCAATGAAAAAAAACGGTCAATTATCATTTACTTTCTATAGACACAGGATGTTATAATGCAAAAGTATCGGTCGACAATTGAAATGGTGGTTATAAGTATTGGCTATATGATACCAATGGATTGCTGGTCAATATGTTTATGGACAGTAAACGTAATTTGACTGAAACCGTTATGAACAATTTAGTCAAATTCGATAATATCACACGAATGAAATTCAATTACAAATTAAAAGAATCTATGGAGTTAGATGCTTTGGATTTTGCAGAGAAATTCAAGGAAGATTGGGAAAAATTGGAAGGTGGACCAGATTTTAAAACATTAGTTTACTTTTACAAAACATATATCAAATAGGAATATAATTCATTAGAACAATAATTATTATTGCAAATCAGCTTTTCGTCACATTTTATTATTACTTTAATCGATTTCAAAGTATTTATGAGACAAGTGATTCATAGATTTATCAATATACTTTATTTAGTCAGTAAATGAAGACTTGAAATAAGACAATAATCAAACAGATCAAATAAATGAAAAAGAGCAGTGTAAATTAAATTGAGGGTGTCGCGGTGTGGTGGTGTTGTGGGTGGTAGTGGTTGTGAGCACCCATACCGATCACACCATAGAACCATCACACCACCACCACACAACCCTAAAAAGAATAAACAAGTGAATTCCATCACATTACTGCTGCAATATCTCAATGAAATTGATCTTCCTTCTAGCCCTTTCATTCTTTGTATTTTTGACTACTTCGGCAATATTGTAAGGCACATATTAAAAAAATTCTCTTTTTTGTTGATCGATCACAGATGTTATTACAAGAAAACAACACAAAAACAAAATATATTCAACGGGAATATACATTAATCTCTTTACTCAAATATTCAGTTCACGTATAACTTTCCATACATCCAAACGAATCCATTCCATTTGTGTTGGATCATATTTAACCAAATAAATATCTGATGTCAATGGAAATCGTAGATGACCTTTCGATTGTTCTAACATTAATTTTACTGGTTTAAATATTTTTTCATTACAATACGTTCTCAAGGCCTCTATCCATACATCTGGATGATTAATAGGTGAGACATGTTCATGTACCTCAGGATTCATCCGATAACTTACCTCAAATGCTAAATGCATGATAGCACCATAGAGACGCCCAGCTGGTGTCATTTGACTTGCTTCCTGGAAACCAATTGGACTCATAATTAAACCGATTTCATCTTGTCCCCATGCAAATGGATTAACCCAATCATTTGCAGCCCATACGTCTTCATCATCCACTGTATTATTCTTATCTGCAAAACATGACCATACTGTTACTTTTGATGCACCCAATGATTTTAATACTGTAATCATATCCATTGTACGCGTGTTACTGATTTGACCGGCAACACTACAATGTGATAGTAAAATAATTTCTGATAATGGATAAGATTTTGACATAATTTTCATTCCATTCTTACGCCAACCATCAACATTCTGACTGCTACTATGAAATATTAATGGATCGAGTAATAGTTGCATTTGTGGAAAGATTTTTTTCAGTATTGCGACACCGTATTGAACTTCGGGATCGACACCGTCTTGATAGACCAAGAATGGTTGATTTACTAGAGTGTACAAGAAGGAGAGAGGATTTGCGTTTAATTACAAACATAAATACGGGCGATTATGACAGCAGACATTGTGTCATGTACAGAAAAATCGTGTTTCTAAAAGGTTGTGTATTTAAAAAAATTAAATATCCCTTGCCATTTACTTCGCTAAACGTCAAAGTTTTCATGGTTCGTCTTCAGCATTCTACCAATCACAATTATTTTTAACAAACTTGATCCTAATGCAATACTTTACACTGGCAAACTTCTATACAGATTATCGATTGCTCTGAATAATCTCATCAAAAATGGGAATTCAAAAGAAGTTAAATATTTGTCGCTGCTGACACATTTCCATTCCGCGGAAGCAAAACAACTGTTGGTTTCCTTTCATTTGAATCGTAGTTCAACTTCTGCGTGTTTAAAATTGCCTTCAAAAGTGGAAAAGTGTTTGACAATTTAAATTCTTCGGCAGCTTCTTCTTTATTATTTAATAACTCAGTCAGTAAAAACAATTCCGAAAGTCTCAAACCTTTTCCCTATAGTCAGTTTTCGACGTAGAATCGATTTTGAGTACAAAGAGCATACCTTAATTTTGACCAAAATATCGTTGTGGGTGGAGCATGCTCGACCGACTTGTGAAGCTTCTGTTAAAAAAGCTTCCGCTGCTTTCAACTATTAGTTTTATGTGTAGCAGCCATTTATCAGTCACCAGGAAAAGGTATGACTGAGACAGGGACGCAAAAAAATATTAAGTTCTTTGAACGCGTTGATTCCATTTTGTGTAAAAATTTGGCCGTTTGCGGAGAAAAACGCGTTTTGTGCTCTTCTCGAAAGAATTCATGCGTTTCTAAGCGTTTTTCTGGCACATTTATAAGGTTTCTTATTTAAATTTTGGAGAAACGCTTAAAAACGTCTAAATGTGCCGAAAAACGCATAGAAACACGCAAGTTCGTCGGAGCTAAGCAAAATGACGCGTTTTTTCTGAAAAATGCCTAATAACGACCGAAAGTTTTTACAAAATGGAAAAAATGCGTTAGCAATTTTTAATGTTTTTTCAGCATTCACGTTTTCAGTTACGCATTTTCCTGGGTCACATATGAGTTTGATATGAAACGATTTTTACCAAAGTGAGAGACCGATCGGAGATTTTTTCTTCAGAGTTAGACAAAAAATGAAACCGTGACTGGATTACTGAAAAAAAAACTTTCTGTGTGTAGCAATGAATTAAAACTTGAGGCATCTGATGTAAAGTAGAGGAATAGAGAAGTCTTCAGTGTACATACCAAGATTTAAATCACGTATTTTCCAATACTGTGTTTCGTCATGTTCATAATTTCCTTCACGTAAAGTGACATTGTATGTCTGTAGATTACAATCAACTGCAGCTACAACATCTGATGGTTTCTGTACTGATAGATAAAGATTATTGGCCACATTACGAATACGAACAAATCCAACTAGAAGACAATAGATATAAAACACACAAAGGCATTTGTAGAAAGAAACTTCGAGTAGTATAAATTTACGTACGGTAGCGTGGGTGTTTGCTCCTTTCAATTATAAAGTATTGTGATTGTTTGTTCAATTCAATTTTTGATAATATTGGAAGATGTTGTTGTTCATCAATATCAATTGAATGATAGTATAAATGTTTGAAACGGCATGATTGATTACTATTATCATCAATTTTTTCAATTATCCAACCGTGTCCATACGAATATTTACTATCAGCTAAATAAAACAGACACAGATAAATCAAAATAAAGTATAAGCAAAACATAAATCCTACTAGCTGGTGGTTGTTGTGTATGCGGACGAATTATTAAATGATTGTCTTGTTCATTGAATGTTAATCGATGTGTTCGACTTAACCAATGATTAACAATACCAAATTCAGATTTTGATTGAAAATGAAATAGATCTAAAGATTACCAACAGAAGAATGCAATTATATATATACTTAAAACAAGTTCTCTCGACACTTACCAATACCATTTGCTGTCATCGTTGATTCTAATTCTATGATGAATGAATGCACTTACAATGAAACTACTCTGAAAGCAGAAAGCAGAAGAATGAAACAGTAGCATTTATTTCTAGATATGCATATTTTCTCTGTGCAAACAGAAATATGCACCTCTTTCTTTTTTATTCACAGAGATACCGCGATGGAACTTATAATGTCAAGTTAGAAAAAGAACAGTCTAGATAACTCTATCCAAAAAAAGATTATAGTTAAATGAAATGTGTGTAAAAAAACATATTAGACTTGTCTTATCAAGTTTTCTTGACCTACGAACATACACTGTCTGTCTACTCTCATTCAAAAGAAGGAATGGATCGAATCATCGAAAGACGTAAAAAAAGAATAAAAGCAAAAATAAAACAAAGGATATGACGCATGCGTTATAAATACTAAAACTTGTTTAGTATGTGTGACTAATGCTAGACGATAGAAAGAGAAAAGAAAGCAATAGAAAAAAAATGAAATGATGTCATCATCCAAGATTGATAACATAAATGGAATAGGACAGCACAGTGTAGAGCAGTCATAGAACGGGTTTATACAACCTACATGCGTCATTTCTACTGCTTCACATTCTGTTTCTTTTCAAAAAGTGGTAGTTAAATTCGCTTTATTCTTCATTGGATGACGCACTGGAATTCTTTCGCAATCTTTTCATTTTCTTTCGCAATTTGTCTATATATGATCATGTGCACATCGAATGAATAGAACAAAGTTGGAAGGAATCCTGTGAGGTTCTCGTCTGGGGATGTGTCAAATGGCTTCAACCTCCGTTATCTACGAGGGTTAAATTGATGCTTAAGTGGATACTAGTCTGTTCTCTATTGAGAAACTCACAATAAATAGCCTACCGTGACCTGATGATGTTGTGATGAAAAAGATGATGGTCCGAGATAGGTTTGATAATGGTCTTTATTAATAAATATCAACTATTAATATAATATGTTGAGAGGTTGAGAGGAGCAAAAGAGGAAAATCAGGGATAGCAAGGGGAAGACGAAAAAAGGAGACAGCAACGGGGTGATAATGGTTAATCAGAAAAAAAAAGAAAACTGAACTGGAAAACAAGATCAACTGACTATAATAATAGAGAAAAAAAGGAAAAACGCAATAAGAAAAGGGAACGACGCAACAAGGTCATCATGATATTGTGATGAGTGACTGCATAATACGTTCAAAGAATTAGCGTCATAAGGTGACATCTGTTGACGCTAACACCTCCCTCTTTCCGTGGAAAAGACTAATCAGGACATTCGCCCACCCGATAGGGTAAGCCGATTGAATAATCAACTTCACAGTTTGGAAGAAGATATTATCGAGCAACAGATGAAGAGAAGAGAGAAAGAATAGAAATGTTTGAAAAAGAAAAATATAACATTCAAAGCTGAATAACAAAACCAAAAAGTCAAAAAATAACAATGAGAGAAACAAGAAAAGAAAATGCATTAATGTTCTTGTGAACACCATTCAGAATAACTATTTTCATCAAAATCATTAAGAGTCAATGTTTTTTCAGCGTGTTCTCGATGGGCAGGGTAAGTAAACTGAATACAAAGTTTTTGTTTCCAAATTTCGGGTAAATGATTATATTGAATTTTTTTATATGCTAGATAGGTTTTTATTTCTTTTAAAGGCCATATTCGATCTATATGTCGAATCACGACATGAGTCTTTTGTTTTTGTTTTAGCTTCTCATGGCATTTCTTATTACGACGATTTAGTGCTGTCCGTGAACGACGTAGAGACTTTATGGGTGTGATTCTCTTACTCATCAAGTCGTGAACGTATTCTTGAATAGTATTACTGAGATACGATATATGTATGGAATCAAGATGCATGCCATCACGACCAAGATGGTCGCCGGCGATTGGAATATCAAGAATAGAAAAGTTGTGAAGACTTGATAAATTCTTTAGTAGTTCATTGTAGTTGTTTACATTAGATGATAACAAAGAATGTGTTTGAAATCGGGAAGATGGTTTATAGCAGGGGAAAACGATGGCGATGGTTATGTCGGCTTTTTGCACAAGATGAGGATGATGAGATCGAAGCATAGAAATTATATCTTCAACTTGAGTTATAATTTGTAACGCTAACGTATTACGAACTGAGTTAGTTCCAATAAGGAACAGAACTCCTGTACACGAAGATAAAATAGATGTTATAGATGAGGAGAGCAGCAACGATCGTGTTTACCCACTGTAACCCGGAGATAGAGTTAGTAATAAGTTTATAGGATGGTGTTTGAATAATTGGTGGAAAATATTTGCCATGACTATCGGTGATAATAAAAAAAACATCGCTGGAGCGTGTGATTGATTATGTTGAATGTTGTTTACGCTACTAGGGTATGTTAAATTATCTGATGGTGCAGAGCAAGTGTGAAAGTGAAAATATAAATAAGAGGAAGCGAAAAGATCACTGATAGCGTAATAAATTAGAGTTTGACGAGTACGTTTATCTGTATCAAGACGCCACGTATGTAAATATAAATCAAGTCCACAGGACCAAGTGTTCAGAGTAATTGACTTATCTAATTAAATTAAATGTAAACTGAACTGCCTTTTGCAAGGACCACAAGGCATTTTTAGTTTTATAAGGACGAATTTCACTAGGACAAATGCAAGTATTATAGTCATCAATAGGATGTGTTGGATCGAATTCATCATCAAGATCATCTGAATTCACCAAACACACCAGAAAATCATCGGAAATTGATTCTTCGATGATAGGTTGATGACGACCTACACAATCAGCTGTATGTGGATGTGCTGTATTCCATTGTCGAGCAAAATAATCTTGTAGATTGAATGTGTTTGTAGCTTGAGAGATATCGAAAAAATTAAATTGTTCGAAGGTAAGTAATTTCTTTACGAGATCACCCCAAGTCATGAGCTTATTGAGAGGAGAAAAAATCATTCGACATAGTTGTCGGATAGAATTAAACAGTGAAGTGGAAGTGTACGGAAGATGTTGCACTTCAATAATAATGATTGTGGCCCAATTTTCATCATGAATTGCTTGTATCTGAATAAGTGCTGGTATTGAATGCGGGTGATGTCGAGTAGGTTTATCCGACTCCGTATCAATCGTATATAAATGAACATTTGAAATTTTGTGGAGAATTCCATAAAGATGAGATTCGGAGATGCGATGATGAATGTGGATTGGCGAATCATGGTGTGATTCAAACCAATGAAGAGGATTTAAAGTTGAATAGTAATTGTTGGATGTGCTGGGCTTTTTGACCAGCTTTCAAACAGTGCGTTTTTTGACGTCTTGTTAAATGTTGTGGACTATTTTTCACGGTTCGTGATGAGAGATGTTCGTGTGGATTCATGATAGGTTGATCATGTGAAAAAATCAAATGAAAAATTCTCCAATTCACTAAATGGCTGTTTACCCTCGAATCATTCGAAGGCAACACAAGTGAATTGTGAGAATTATGAATCATATTCGATGAATAATAGCGATAATCGGTGAAATAAGGAAAAGATTGAAAAAATGGTGATGAGTCGGTAGTATGTTGAGATGAGGAGAGGGATATATAATCCTGTTCATGGGCAGTTTGTTCATTGTGAAACATGGTAGAAAGAAAAGCCTATTTGAAAATGAGTGTTAGGAAAGGTGTAAAAATGATCTTCTAATTCTCCTATATCGGATCGTTTTCCAAGATAAATAGTCTTACAATTTTAATGTGAATGTAAACCGACGGCGCCTTCAGTTTACGTAATTCATATAGGTAAAGATCTGACTGACTCAGCCGAGCTGTAAATGACAGTCGGAAGGATCAGGAGCAATACTTATGATGGAGAGAAACAATAAAAAAGGAACTATTTGAAATAGCGAACGATGATAATAGAAAATAAAGAAAATATGTGATAGAATATTAGAATGAAGGAGTGGTATACAAAGAGGAAAGAGGTGCAAAATTGCATGGTAACTAAGAATAATAGATGACTTTGGAATTAATTGATTATGATAGGTCGTAAATCAGCAACATGCACCTGAAAGGAAGCATGATTTGTTTCATCTTGTACCACATATATAGGATGATGAACCTGAGTAATCACCTTTGGTATAGGTGAATATTTCGGGTCTAATTTTCTTCGATTACCATGAATGCGAGTGAGTACCTTATCGCCAATTTTATATTGTGCATCCAGGCGATTATGATCATATGTAGTTTTGTTGTTTTGTTGTTGCAGAACAATATGATGTTTTGCTGCTTGATGGTAAATGCGCAGGGTTTTTCTTAATTGTTCGAAGTAATCATTTGGTTTAACAAATGAGAAATATGGTTGTCGTGTACTGATGGGCAAACGAGGTAAACGACCATAAAGCAATTCGAACGGCGAGTATTTAGTTGTTTTGTGGATTCCGGTATTATACGCAAAGACGACAATCTGTAGGTACTCGTCCCAGTTATTATCTTGAGTATCCTGTAAGTTAGATATCTGGGGGATAAATGTGGCGCTGAAGCGTTTCACAATACCATTGGTTTGTGGATGGTACGGGGTACTATAGATATGACTTTAGCCGATGAGAATTTTAATATTACCAATTAGCTGATTGCGAAAATGTGGTCCTTGGTCACTAAGAATTACAGCCGGAATTCCAAATTTGCAAAAATACTCGTTAAATAGAGCCTGTGCGGTAGTTTCAGCAGTGGAATTGAGAAGAGCTAGTACGGTTATATGACGGGAAAAGCGGTCCGTCATTACGAGAACATACTGATTTTCCCGCGGTGTTCGTTTTAACGGACCACAATAGTCTATCACAATTAAAAGAAAAGGTCCATCAGGTGGAGCTATAGGACGTAAATGTCCGTCTCTCTTATAACAAGTGACATTATATTGTTTACACCAAGGACAAGATTCAATATAATGTTTAATGGTGGATTTCATATCTGGCCACCAATAATAGTACCTTATTTTATTATATGTACGATCAAGGAAAAAGTGAGCTCCTGTCATAGGATCGTGGGTGTGGGCGTGTGTGTATCTGTCACATGATCACATCCACACATCCATACCCACACCCTCACCCACACCCACACCCACACCCACCCTCAAAAATAGATATGTAAAACATTTTGACTTCCATTTGGTTTTCAAATTACATATATTTTGAGTTTAAAATATTAACTAGTATTAAAAATTTATTTA